TAGGAGTGCTATTCCCAAGTGGCAGAACCTAGAAGCAGAGATTACTGCCAAGGGAATCATACCTGAAACAATAGAGAAGAACTGGCCTCAACGCGCGAAGAATTGGTTCTACGCTCATGGGGGAAGCCTAGACCCAGACACTGGCAAGCTAATTTTCGGCCAAAAAATTGAGAGAGCAACACAGAGACTAGCTCGTGCTAGGGAAGAAGCTGATAGTGGTGTTTTCAAGCCCAACAGAGAGAAGGATGAATTGACATATGCCCTAGAGAATCCCGAACACGGTGGTCGAACAAGAGGCTATGGGGCGGTTCCGTGGCTACACGCATTCCCAGCAGACAAGGATACCTACAGAAGCCGCCAGAGAAAGAAGGATGAGGAGGCAGAACGAATCCGTGCATTGGAGCAATTTGTTGATGAGTCACGACAAGCATTGCTTGAATCACGTGAACGAGAAAAATCTCTTGAGGCAAGAATGCAAGAGGAGATCAAGAGGCAAGTGCAGCTAGCAATGAGTCAAATGCAATCGCAATCAACGCCGTGAGTCACCATTAGCCCCGTTGGTCAGATGAAAAGCAGTTGTGCTTCTACGGAGCTGCCAGTTATTCAAGATGACACTGGGTTGCGCTTCCCTGTTGATGACATTACCGAGCCTCTAACAACATGTGAGCTACACATTTCAGATGGTGATAATGCATCAATCATGGTGGCTGTCAGGGTTGTATCTCCAATAGACCGAACGAAGACACCAAGAATCCATGGGTCAGTTATTCAACCTGAATATGCTAGCGTCTCAGTCGATAGAGTGCTCAAAGGTTACAGCAATGTTCCTCTTGACATTGAACGCGGTGATGGGGAGAAGACACTAGGAGAAGCAGAGAAGACATTTATTCAATGGCGCAAACGCTTCATCATCATTCCTGGGGCGCCACCGCTTCCCCTACCTCACCCTATGTACGAATGAAAGTGAATGAAATATTATTTTCCATTAATTTTCTATTGGCTTAAAAAATAATTGACACACAACTTGTTTTTGTAGCAGGGTCTCCCCCCAGCCTAGCCTAATCATTTATTCCCCATCTCATCATAGCGTCACGGGGGGCGAGACGACTTCATCCCCACGGCGATCGCCAACTCCTACACCGGCCCCATCGCCTCTACAACGATCTCCAACTCTTACACCGGCCTCACCGCCTCCACAACGATCTCCAATGCCTCCACGCCGGTCTCCACCAACACCGGCCTCATCGCCTCCACGCCGGTCTCCAACACCGCCCCCCCCTCCACAAATGACGCACTACAAAGACGTCTAAGGTCCCGGCAAGAAGAAGACCCCGAGAAAAGAGTTATTTCTCAAGAAATACTTTTCAAAAGACCTGATGAGCAAATAGCAAATTGAAGAAGACAAAAAAGTGAAAGATTTTTTTTATAGATATAAAAACAAGAGTCAAGCGAAGCTTAAGGAGAAGCCGATTTTTACATACCACGAGATGTGCTTTGAGGCGGAAGGTCGATGCTCACAAGAAAAAGATGATTGAACTTCGTAAGCCTTCGCCACTATCAGACTATGACCGCTCCCTCGTGAAGTCACATGATGCAGATAAGAAAAGGAAAAGAGCATCAGGGAAGGATGTCCCACAGCTCGAACAACAGAAGTAACCAATACAAAATCTTGTTGTTGCTAATGAATATGGTTCCAACATAGAAGTCTATCGACCAGACAACTCTGAAGAAGTATCGGTTCAAGCCCTTAATGTTTTTTTTGAAGATACTGGTTTAACCTTGTCTCAATTGACGGGCATAGCTCCAATCAAGAACCTGGAAGTTGATACCTGAAAGACTTATAAATATAGCAAAATTCTGTACAACCCTGCGGCTCTGAATGAATTGGGTACGCAAATATACTTGCTCAATAAGTGGTACATGCAGGCGTGTGGCAGGGGTGAGGAGTGGATCTTTGTCAGATTTAGAGACCATCATTACTTTCGTGGCGATGACATCTTACATATTAGTTTCGAAGAATTGCATCAACTATGCCACATGGACGCTCTGGACAAATCAATCATTAGCTCTTTTTGTTTGTAAGTGATTCTTACTTTTATTTAATAAACTCACTTTCATGCGTACGTGCATATAATTATCCTCACATGTAACTTATATTTATATACAGATTCCAGATGTCAGAGCTCCAAAGAATACAAGACACCAGTGTTGGCTTCATTGATCCTTATATCGTATTCAAAACCGATATTATTCCCAAGGAGCAGTGGGTATCTGAAGCACAAAAGAATATCATGAGGTTCTTCGTGAAGCAGCATAACAAGACAACAATACTTTTCCCGTACAGCTTTGAGTAAGTGTTAATAATAATGTAGTCTACACATTTTATGTAATATCAATACAACTTATATGTATGTACGTGTGTGTATAAACCAATGTAGGTTTTACTGGATACTCATTGTCATTGAGTTAAACTTAAGTCGGTTAGTAATCTTGGACTCGAAGAGAAAAGAGCGGGCACTATACCAAGATATGATAGACATTATCCAGGGGTAATTTCGATCTCTCGCGCACAACTTTTATTGAATAGACTTTGTCATAATTTATTAACGATCGTACATTATTGGTCGCACAGGGTTTGGAAAGAGTTTATTCGGCAACACCGTAAGGATTGCAGGGCACCACTTAATGTAGTTGAAATACCAGTAAGTTGTATTATATATACTTCCCCACGTGTTTAATTACTATATCGTATTTCAATTTACGTGTGAGATGATGAGAATATTCTTCTTCTCGTACAGTGGTGTTTGCGGCAGCAACCAGATAATAACTTGTGTGGATACTACGTTTGTGAATTTATCACTGCGCACATAAGAAGAACTCCTAAAGATATCCTCAGAGTATGTATATATCAATTTTTTATTTATTTTTAAATACATATATATATATATATGTATGTATTAATACTTTTCCTTTTGTTTCAAATGCAAGACTGAATGGTTCAAATAAATGGTCATGAAAAAGACCATCTGAAAGCAGTTCAAGAGTCAATAGCAGGATTTCTTCTTGAAAAAGTGCTAAATCCCAACGGCGAGTTCTACTTTGATCCTAAGGAATAAATGGTGTAAATTAAATGTTTATTGATATCGTTATTTTCGAGAACAAGATTATGAAAGTGTTGTATATATACATATATATATATCTATAATATATATAGGTTCATACTTTATTCGAATATAATAATGCTCGAGATGGGAATTAGATGTAATTATATGCGTGCGTGTATTTATATTAGCAGCGTAGAATACGTACATAAAAACATATTATATATTAAACAAATACGTGTAACTGAACTGAAAACAAATTAAACAAAAAAAAGAAAAAGAAAAGGAACCTCCCAACCGGGACTAAAAGATGCGACCACGTTTGCTCGACTGGAGGGCCTTTAGTCTCGATTGGTAACACCAACTGAAACTAAAGATCTCTCTTTAGTCCCGGCTCGATGACCCGGAACTAAAGGTGGCACCTTTAATCCTGAGATCGTTGTCCCGGCGCGGTAACCGGGACTAAAGACCATTACCGCCCAGGACAATAAGTCCATACTGTAGCGGTGTTAACACCTGCGGCACAAAGTGGCATCGGAAGTCTAGTTCGCGAAAAAACCACCAACGCCGCGCTGGTGCTGACCTAAGCAGCCATAGCCCGTCATTTTTTTCCTATCCTGCATAGAGAAGTCGCACTCAACAGCAGTACAATACAACACCATGAATTCAATTTCCTGATACCTTATACAATTATATAACAATTATATATTTTAATTTTGTTTTTTATTCCTTTCTGTCGAAAACGCAGCATAGTCTATATACAAAGGCCCCGTTCACGTGCCCTTAAACCCGACTTGATCTGCTTCTTTTTTTTATTCGGAACAATGTTTTCCTCTCACAGATTCCTCCAGCATTCCTCCAAACTATCCAAATTCCTTCAGAATTCCTCCAAGCGAACAGGCCCAAAGGCTTGACATGGGCGTTGTAAGCTCAACTTTGTTGTTGTTGCTGAAGTGATCAAAGGTGTTCACATCTCGGCATATCCGTGGATGCTCTGTTTAATGTCCAGGCCTTGTTTAGATTGCCTCAAAATTCTAAGTTTTTTCATTATCTCTCCATCACATCAATTTTTGGACGCATGCATGAAGCATTAAATGTAGGTAAAAAAAATAACTAATTACACAGTTTGGTTGTAAATCACGAGACGAATCTTTTGAGCCTAATTAGTTCATGATCAGACAAAGTTTGTTAAATAGAAACGAAACGTGCTACAGTGTCCAGATTACAAAAATTTACAATCTAAACAAGGCCCCAGACAGCTTTGATAGCAGCGGCTGACTATTGGGTGAACGGTGTAGTACCCCACTTCGATTGTGGAATGCATTATTGCAAAAAAAAAATTAAAATTTAACCACTACCATCATTTACGTTTTCAAATTCAAATAGATCTATTGTGAGACGGGTGGGAGTAGACCCATCATATTAGAGCGAAATTTCTACCTCTAGCCGTTCGTTCAACTTGAAGTGAGCTATTGCGCGCCGCCACTAAAATTATGCGTTTGAAGTTTCCATATCCAAACGCACCAATGCGATGCGTATGCGTATCAACCTGTTCCTAAGATTGGATAATCAACAATGCCCCTCAAAATCTCCGTAAGCAGCTTCCCCAGTTAGAAATGTTCGGTTAAAACCACACACTTCAATCGATCAGACACCAGGCATACTGACAAAACTTCGAAAGTAGGCGCAAATTTGAACAGAAGAAAACCGCGTGCAATTCATGTAATGTCAGCATCGTAGGAGTATTTACAATACCATATGTATCAGATATTTAAGATGCATAATCTGATTTAGTCCTGGGTTGCGTACAAAACGAAACAAACAAATCACAAAGGCAAATCCAAAACGAAACACCTCTGTCTCCGATGGCGGGATCACGTCACCACTCATCAGAGCGCTCTAGAAATCGAAGCCGCCATCGAAGCCACCGCCGTCGTAGCCGGCATCATACGCCGACGCGTCCGAGATCATGTCCCCGATCAGCAGCCCACCGACGGCGCCTCCGAGCAGCCCGGCCCCGAGCCCCATCCCGAAGTTGTTCTTCTTCTTCTGCGGCTTCACGGCCTGCTGCTGGTAGCCGTACCCGGCGGCCTGCGGCGGCTGGTACCCGTACCCGCCGTACTGCGGCGGAGGAGCGGCGTAGGGCGCCGCCGTGCTGGGACCGGCGGCAGGGTAGGCCGTCACCGGCTCTCCCGCCTTCGCCGGCTTGCCTGCCGCGGGCGGGTAGCCGGATAAGGGCGGGTACGCGGTCGCCGGAGCGTCGGCCTTGCCGCCGGTGGGCGGGTACGCGCCGCCGGGAGGTGGGTACGCGTCGGCCTTGGCTGCCGGCGGGTAGGCGGCAGGAGGCGGGTACGCGTCGGCCTTGCCTGAAGGAGGCGGGTAGGCGGCGGCGGGAGGCGCGTACGCGGAGGGAGGCGGGTACGCGGCGGCCTGGGTGTATGCCGACTGGGCGGGGGCGTAGCCGTTGGCGGCGCCCGCCGACTGGGTGACCTCGCCGAGCTTGTACGACAGGTTGAGGACTCCCTGGGGCTTGCCCGAGGAGATCCTGCGGACCTGGTAGGCGACGAACTTGGCGGGGACGGGGCCGTCGGGGGCGCCGGAGAGGAGCTCGGAGAGCGGGATGTGGACCTCGCCGACGTCGCGGTCGCCGAGGGCGCGCTCGGCGCGGAGGAGGACGTGGAGGGAGCCGGCGCCGGTCGCCGGGACGGCGAAGCGGAGCGTGGCGTTCCAGGTCGGGTTGCGGCCGCCGATGCGGTCGGCCTGGACCCTCTGCCGCGACCGGGGGTCCCCCGAGAGCGACACCACGGCGTAGACCTCCATCTTGGACATCAGGTTCACGTCCTTGAGGTCCTTGGCCGAGATCAGCGTCAGCTCCAGCGGCCGCGTCGCCGCCATGGCCGGGGGTGAGCTCGCGGTCGTGGGTGGATTTTTCTTGTCTGATCCGGCGGAGACGAGAGAAAGTCAAGATGGTTTGGTTTGGTTGGTTCTCCGAGATCGATCGGTTTGTGTGCTGCTGCTTGTGCTGGATCGACGACTTGAGATTGTTTGGGCGGCACAAGGCTCGTGTTCGTCTTATATATCGGGAGGGGGACGGAGGAGGCTGCTAGGATATTTCTTGGACGCGGATACTTTGCCTGCTGCATGACCGGTGGGCCCAGGTAAGGTAGGACCGGTTGTCAGTGGAGCCCTTGGTGCCTTGCAGGTCCTCTAGACCCCGCGTGTGACGGAGGTCCGTTTATACTTACACGCGGAGGAGCAGAGACGAGTGGTATGGCATGTATGACGCGTGGTCCCAGGGTGTGGCAGGGTTCACACGTCAGTGGGTGTAGTGTTGCTCTGTGGCGCTGTGGGATGGCAGTTGCCTCCGAACCTTCTACTACTCCTGACGCGCACGGCGCACCGGATCGGCCGGCCGCAAAGGCGCGCGGAAGGAAATGGACCGTTTCTTTGTTCTGTGCCGTGGGCCCGATTTGTCAGTGTCTCAGTGCTTTGTGGGGAGCGCAGTAGGTCCCAAGTGGTGAGAGGTTTCTGCGCATTGAGCCATTGACCAGCACCGTGTGGCGTGGTTCGCAGCGAATCTCAGCCGTCAGTTGTGGTAGGCGATGATTCTCTTGCAGGCTAAGCAAAAAGGAAGACTGGGGGCAAAGGCATCGGATCTCCTTCGCCGTAGGCCGCCGAAGCGATCTTTCCACGCGTCGACGACGCTGCTCGTCCGTTGCTGTGCCTTTCTTCGCACCGTAAGCGTATTCCACTTTCCCATGAATGTTCTGTTTCTTAAAATTCTTGAAAAGAACAATTCATATACACTGATCTCTATGAATCCAGGTCTCAAACTTAGGGAACAATTGTAGTAAATTAAAGGTAACAAATCTTAAAGCAACTCCAAAGATTCTTTGTAGTCTTTTTTAATTTGTAGGAATAGTGATTTTGGTAAGAAAAATATATCCTCCAACAGTCTCTTTAATTAATCTCCAAATATAGATACCATCTATTCCAGCGGCGGACCCAGAAAATATTTCAGGAGGACTGAACAACACTGTTTTTCAATCTTAAGTCTCAGTCCCCTACACTATAGAACTTTGACTAAAAATTCATGGGAGCTCCACAGGGGTTCCACTGCTGCGATATGGATAGAGAACGAGAATAGATCTTTAGATTACGCACAAGATATGAAAAAGTTGTTGGAGAATACAAAGACAAAGAAAGCGATTTTTCTCAAATGACTCTTTAAATGATGTTTTAAACAATAAATTTTCAAACAAATCTTGGAGATGTGCTTATAATTGGTGAACACTTGCGAGGCCACGACTAACTTTATTTAACTGCACTTGTATGCATCAGAATCTACATGTGTTGAGTTAGATTAGTATGTAAAATTAACCAAATTTGATCCAAATATACCCCGGCATATATGAAATAAGGTGGATGCAAATGTACCTAAACAAAAATCTTAAATATCTGTTTTCATGAGTGATGAACAAATTTGCCACTAGCTGATCGCGAGAATGTGAGACGGTTCAAAGCGTGCCCTCTTGAAGAGTGGCGAAGTAAATTTCCCATGCCATGGATAGACTTGGTAGCCATTCAAAATCGTACTGACTCAGTGACTTGAATGTAAAAAAAAATGCAATATTATTGTAAATGCATAGACTTGGTCCATTCACGATGGTACATTATTGATACAATAACACTATTGACTAATGTTTGCTAAATATCTGTTCTTAAATTATTATATCTACAAAACTTCTGCCCTGCATGGTTCCAAATCTCGCTTGCATTGATGCATTTTTTTTTTTTTTGCAAATGCGAGTAGATCATTACGCACCTTGACTTTTAAATCGAGTCATTTATGCACGTTCTTAAAATAGGACACCTTTGACTTGCAAGTTCAAGCTGGAGCAAAACGAAAGGCCCGGCACCTCACACGCCAGGGAGTTGGACAAAAAGCACCCAACCGGACGAACCCAAACTCCCGAAGGTACGTCGGTTATATATCAGCATCTTGAAAGGTACCCAAAACACTCTCCTACTCCAGGATTTTTAGCAGGATAGAAAAAAAAAACATCTTCAACCACTTTTAATTTCACCTCTCAATCTTTTAGCACTTGGGAAAACCCCCGTTGCGCGTAAAGATGCATGGACTCCAGCTAGCGCGCATCCCTCCCGCGGCGATCTAGCGTCTACCAATCTAAAGGTGGAAGGACATAGAAAGAATAAAGAGTTACCGATAAAAATGTATAAGAGAGAAATAATATATAAAATTGGTTAAGATAATTTAGAAATAGTATATGATTCTTGATGTAAAATTGTCTTCTATATTTTAGGAGTGAATTATTGAAAACTGTTGGAGATGATTTTATTTTTTCCTCCTAATATTTTTTGGCGAGTTGAAAAACTCCATGATTTTAGGAAGAAAATATTAAGAACTCTTGGAGATGCTGTACGTAGGGTTCTATCAGGATAATTGATAATCCAGTTGAAGGATCTACATCTACCATCCATTTTTTTAACCAGGAAAAGGCTCTAACCTTTTTCATGCTAGTAATATAAAGTGCTACTCCGTACTATATTCATTATCTTAAAAGCATTCCACAAAGCAGACTCTACTGGCATGAGTAACCGATCGATCTGCCTTGCACGAACAACTTTGATTGATCGAGGGCAAGGCCAATAGAAGCGGACGTTCTATAGTGGTTTCATGCAGAACAAACGCCACATGTTGGAATAGCATACCGAGACAATTTATCTTCCAACGCGAGCAGTAAAATAGCAGCCTCAAACTTTAATTGTATATATTAATATATTACGTTACACTGAGACCATATACCCATTTTGTATATCTGTTGTAGCCTATGCTACCCAGGTCACCAAGGAACTAATCTCTCGCTCTAACGCTTGCTTCAATGTCCTCGAGCTTTTCGTGATACCAGGCCAGTGTTGCTTCTGCAGGCCACAAGCTCAAATGACGTGAATGCCCGGGTCCAGGTGGAGTTTGTGGCAGTACACGCCCCGTTGGCGCGTTAGACAAGGGCTAGAATTGATACTTTTTTTTTGGGGAAAAAGAATTGACACATTTGTTAAAGGTGGCAATCAGTGTTAGTTTTAACGCCGGCTTTTGCCCGGCACCGGCCAACGAAAAGCAGCACACCAGATTTCTATATACCAGGGCCAAAATTAAAAGACTTAAAAGTAACTCCAGCAGGACCCCTACTTAAGTCCCCATAGCTAAATATGAGGGCTCATGTTAAAAATCTTACCCCATCCAGACTTCTACTACGGACCCCAAATTTATGGGGACACCAAAATTCTCCCACCAAGATTTGGAGGCTATCGCTAAGAGTTGGTCTTAGAACGTGGAACGGAAAGCCAAAAGAAGAGGTCCCTGTTTTGTCGTCTCGAAGTGTCAACCTCTGGTCCTCGTCCAACGTGGCAACGGCGGCAACATCGAACAAAGTCGGCGGCGCCCTCGTCCCTTCGCCCGCGTCTCTTCTCGTCAAAAAGGCTATCAAAGCGATCGCGCTGCGCGTCAGGCCCCGGCCGCGCTGAAGGTGAACCGAGCGCAGACCGACCCGCCCCGGCCGCGCCCACGGGCCCACCACGACGCGTCGACGCGGCGGCCTCCGTCCCAAGAGCCAAACCGGCTCTTTTTCCAAAGGCCAAAGCACCACCCGTCCACCCCCCATTCTCTCTCTTTCCTTTCTCACCCCCGTGACCCGTCTCGCCCTTTCTCGCCTCGCCGCCGCCGCCGCAGCCGATGGACTCCGGGGAGGAGCCGTCGCAGATGCGGAGGGCGCTGGTGGACTCGCTCGCGGGCGCCATCTCCGGCGGCATCTCCCGCACCGTCACCTCCCCCCTCGACGTCATCAAAATCCGCTTCCAGGTCCTCCCCCCTCCCCCTAGCCTCTCCTCTCCTCCCGTGGTACATTTTGCGGCCGGGCTGTCGCGGTGCTGCTCGCTGGGGCACCACCCGCTGTTTGTTCGCAAGCTAGGTATCGTAAGATTGCGCGGTTGGGATCACCTGGGGGAGTTTTTGAGGGTCTTGGCGTGCCTCTGGAGAGGCGGTAGGTTCGGTGTTTGTATACTGGAAGCTGTTTACCTCGTCTGATTCGCGCCTGCATTGCGTATCTGCAGGAATTCGGGGTATGTGAGTGCCTGCGGCTGCGTTTGTGTCTGTTTTTGAGCGTGGGATAGATACTGGTTCGATCAATTCGGAAATGGATTAGGTATGTGTAGTATTTGAAGTCACGAGGTACACATGGATTAACTGATTAACTGCATGGTTTGGGAGCGGTTTCGTCTCTGCGCTAACTGCTAGGCATGCTGTCTATTGATTTAGGATGATGTTGCCAGTTTTAGCTTATTTCCTTGTTGTGGTAGCTTGTCTGGGCATTACCTTATATGGTCACCGTACATTTAGCAGAAATGTTGATGAGTTCTACTGTTTTATGAAAGTAAGGGCGGGGATTGCTGTTTAATCAATTAATTAACTTTGCAACCTCACCGGAACTGCATTGTAATAAGCTTACCAAATGCCAATATTCATTTGGAAACATGCTTTTATTATGTGTAACCTTGATAAGAATCTCTGGATGTATGATTGATTATGGTTTTGAGGGCCCTGTTTGTCAGATAATGAACCGTTAATATCACTTGCTTAGTTTGCGCAAATTGGAGGTCTTCATTTTCTGCAAATATACCAAGAAATAATTAAAATTTATTTGACTAGGAGACAGTAAGATCGGAGTATCGGACTATTATGTGACAGAATAATTTTGTACCTGTACCTTTTACTCGACATTATTGCTTTCCCACTAAAATTTAATGATAGTATTTTTTTACTCGATATTATTCCTTTCCCACTAAAATTACATGATAGTAATGAAAACAGCACAGATGCCATCGGGCGAAACGAAACTTTGCCCTTTTAGTACATTGTAATCTTTTACATATTCTATTGGTCAAGGCATATCCGTTTTGGATGTTCAGAGGCTTCTTCATTATTCTCTGCAGGTTCAGTTAGAACCCACAACCTCGTGGGGCATTCTTCGAAGGGATGTATATGGACCTTCCAAATACACTGGGTTTCTGCAAGCAACCAAAGATATTCTCAGAGAGGAAGGTTTACCGGTATCTGCCTTGCTTTGAACACTTCTTGGCTTATGCCATATTGAGCTATTGAGAAACAGACTAGTACAGATACTGTCGCTCTTGCACTTGCATGCCTCTATATAATAGGGCGTACCCAGTGCAGAGAGCTCTCGCTCTGTGTGGGGTCTGGGGTCTGGGGAAGGGTGTTAGTGGCAAGCCTTACCCTCGCCTGTGCAATGCGAGGAGACCGCGACTCAAACCCGGGACCTTCCGGTCACAGGCGGTAAGACTCTACCGCTTGCACCAGGCCCGCCCTTCCATGCCTCTATATAATAGGTTAAACTAAACAACATTGCACATGATACTGGTACTGTTGCACTCTAACTGTGTCTTACTAGGTAGAGTCCTGCCCTATAGTCTGGAATTGGAAGAATTCTGATTTTCCTTTTAGCAATCCATGTCTATTTGAGCTTTGTTTGGACAGAAATGTGTTTGGATTTTCCACAACTTCCAGTCTTTCACATTCCCATCTACTTGTTAGACACTGTCAGGTGTCTTTTCATCTAGACATGGACATATCGATATCTCACAACTCAATGAAGCTTGCTTGGCTCTCAACAAGCAAATCGTCTAAGTCGTGGCGGTAAAAACAGGGTCATGACTTATTTATGTTCTGATGTAGAATACCAATGTTTTCAAATAGTCTAATCGACCGTAGTCTCCATGGCACCGATCAGCCTGACTAATCGTGACTAATTATGACTATGCCATGGCACCGATAAGGCCGACTAGTCGCAGGTAGTCGGACGACTTGATAACCTTGCAGAATACATACTCACCATGTCCTTGTCATACCTATAATGATATTTACGTTTTACTCCTGAAATCAATGATGCTGAAACCATGATGTTATATTTTTGCCTGTAAAGAATATGTTAATATATCGCATGCAAAATAAGTGAGGTGTTACTCAAGAAGGAAAGAAAGCATAGCCGAGGTCACCGGTCACCCTATGCCACACTATAGCTTTGCATCCATCCAGCCTTTGTTCTGTTTCTTGCCTTTCTTGTGATCTGTGATAAGTGAGGTGTTTCTTGCCTTTCTCACTATTAGTATATTAATCTGCATATATGTTCTTACTGTGCAAGATTGTTACATTTCAGGGATTTTGGAGAGGAAATGTACCGGCTCTGTTGATGTATATGCCATATACAGCTATACAATTCACTGTTCTACACAAACTAAAAACATTTGCTTCTGGTTCATCTAGAACAGGTATCTTGTCTGCATAAGGCCCCCATACAACTTCATTTGTTGCTTTATACTGTATTAGTTGCAAGTTGCAACAGTCATTCCCCACACCTTATGATAAGGCTTGCAGTAGTTTTCTTTCTTCTAGTGACTGCGTTCTGTGGCAAAACATGCTAAATCTTATTACCTGCGCATTATATCACTCGTGCTAGAACGTGTGCCACCATAGAGGAAAAAAGTACACCTAAGCTTAACCATGGTGCTCCTTTGACATTCAGTTGCTCCCATCACTTCAGTTTCAATGAATGTGCCATTTTTTTCATTCTAGGTGTTCTCAGGGATCCTATTTTCAAATTTTTTGTTTTCTTCTGACAAAATGGCAGTTACAGTTCCATTAAAACTTGATTTTTTTTTCAGTTCTCTCGTGGCATTCTCTTGGATTGTCCCATATTCCACCTTTTGGATCTTTGACGATTTCTTTATTTATGTATGATTAAACCATGGATTATTTTGTAGTACACAACTAACTTTGGAATTGTTGGCTTATGTATCAAACTATTGACTTCCATAGGAGTAGTGTTTTGATGTGGTTGCGTCCATTATAGAAGTTGACGATGCCATGACCATAACCTATTTTAACTTGAATGGCAGTTGTTCAGATCAGTGGTGTGCACAATTTGGTGTTAGTTGAATGATTTGAACATTTCCCCAATCTCTTCTCTTTATAACTGATGCTTTTTGAATATGGTACCTTCAAAGTTAGTTAGCTGCTGTAACTCATCTCACTGCCATATTAAAAAATCATATATATTGTTCAAAATTAAAGAACTGTTATGAGTATATGCATCTCTAAATCTTATTTGATCTATTGGTCTTTTTCTCTATCAGAGGATCATTTGCATCTGAGCCCTTACTTATCCTATGTAAGTGGAGCTCTAGCAGGATGTGCAGCAACTATAGGGTCATATCCATTTGACCTTCTGAGGACTATTCTTGCATCGCAGGGTGAACCAAAGGTAAGTCTGATATTACCTTTGGTCTACAAAACTTAGTTTTTTTGTTGTTGTTTTTTTGAACACTTGTGGCATGTTTAGTTGTGTGTAATTGATTGGAGTGATGAGGACTTTAGGGTTAGAGACAAGTGTGTGTCTGTGGGATTTCAACAGGAAGGGAATCGGGAAATTTGTAGGTCCAACACCCACTATTTCAAAATTCAAACCTATAGAGGGGTAGTAATTGGAAGGTTATTGCTGTCTGAAGATGAATGGATGCATCCCGACCCTTCATAATTACTTAAACAGCTAAACTAGTGTCTTATCAATTTCCGTCGTCCCCTTTGCCAAACAAGGTGCTGGGCTTTAAATTGAACTTTCTACGCCCTGTCTCACGAATAAATCATAAACTTGTTCTTTAGTTATGATTCTGTTAGCTTGGTTTCTGAACTGCTCATATTCTTTAAGACCTGATATTTTAATTTTGAGGCTGATGTAGTTCCCGGAGAATTTTTGTCCCATCATTGCAAATATTTGAAAATATTATGTATTAATTTGCTTCTTATTAATGGATGCCATTATGCATGCAATTCTTTGTTGAGATTTTCTTCTACCATTTCAATGTCAATGTTTTTGGCACTTCTGATGCCACAGGGTTTGCTGATTCAGAGAGCTGTACTTTTCTCTGTAGGTTTACCCCAACATGAGGTCTGCATTTGTTGATATAATTAAAACTCGTGGTGTTCAAGGGCTTTATTCTGGTCTATCTCCAACTCTTGTTGAAATCATACCATATGCCGGTTTGCAGTTCGGTTCATACGACACTTTCAAACGTTCGATGATGGTAATGACATTAAACTCACAGTTTTTGCATATTCCATAAGTAGAGAGTTCCTTCTATGTTGAATACATGCTTGTCAAGAATACCAAATACTTCTATGAATGCTGGTGAAATTTAGTCTTCCTGACTGTATTTTCTGCCATGCAGACATGGAACAGATATAAATATTCACATCTTAACTTAGGAAGCGAGGATGATTCAGTATCAAGTTTCCAGCTATTTCTTTGTGGGTTTGCAGCTGGGACATTTTCAAAGGCTGCATGCCACCCACTTGATGTTGTAAAGAAAAGGTTCCAGGTGATTTTCTTGTCTTGAAAGCAACTGATTCCTCCAGTTGCTTTGTGGTATTTAGATATAGGCAAATAACTTGATACTGCATAGCTTTGAGGCAGTCATTGTGGTTTATCATTCTATGGTTGTCTGTCTGTTGTAACTACTTAGGAGTATAAGATATATAACATTAGCAGAGTCCTTTTCTATATGCACTCATGTACTGTATATTGCCCCCATGGGGGGCTATTATTCAACACAAGTGCTAAAAAAGGACTCTACTAACATATACATAAAGGACTCTATACTCCTAACACACACCATGGTCCACCAGGCCAGTTACCATTTCCTAATTAACTATAAAGGCAGCTGCAGGATATACCGTTTCTTTACTAAATTAATTAGGATAATACCATTTCTTTACTAAAATAGTTAGTCCTTTCTGGCTTAAAACAAAACAAAAACTTTTCATGCACCCTCCAAATTAGATAAACTCATTACTGGTATTTGGATCTTCTCTCTTGGTCATGCCAAACATTGCAACTTCAACTTTGACACAGGCTGAAGTTGGACCACTTTTTTTTTAATTGCTCGCGCGAATGTGTGTATGTTATAAACTATGGTCTTGTCCTTCAGTCATGTCACACTGTTAAATTTATTTGTATAGAATATCTGCACCCATTCGAGTTAATAATAGTAGCCTCTTTTGTTCACTGGGCATGTTTTGTGTCAGTATGTTTCTGCTGACTTACTGAAGACATTTATTTCCATACCGTTATATTTGCTTGTTGCCACTTGCTAGTATGACAGTATGTGGTATACTGGTATACCACTTCATTGAGGAATGAGTTGACCTTAGTGCCTCTTAGGCGCAAATGCCTATTTAGGTTGGCAATGAATTACTTGAGAATGAGTCATGGATCATAATAGATTTCTTCATGCCTTATGTTATACTCTGTATTTATCTTGAGATTGCTAGCGATGGGATGATCAGGTTTCCTCGGTCATAATGCAGATTGAAGGACTAAAACGCCATCCAAGGTATGGAGCTCGAATTGAGAGCAGCACATACAAGGGCATGTACCATGCCTTAAAGGAGATTGTCGCAAAGGAGGGATTTGGAGGCCTTTATAAGGGCCTTTTCCCCTCTTTGGTGAAATCGGCCCCTGCTGGTGCTGTGACATTTGTGGCATATGAATACATCTCAGACTGGTTAGAGTCGATACTGATGTGAAAATCTTCAATGCAGTAATACTTTATCCCCATTTTTTTTTTCTGTTGCTGTCTATATTCTTTCTCCATGCTGTTGTACACTTGTGTCTGGAAGAGGCTGCAGTTCCATTGGATCTTGCAGTCCATACGAGGTTTGGGAGCCTGCTAAAATCAACTGGATGATTCATGCTCGTAAGCTCCTCTCATGGGTTTTGGCAAATCATTAGACGTTACACAAATTGGCAATGGAGTTGATCACTGAAGATTTGCATTTCTAGATTTCTACGCACTGAGGCCTACCTTTTCTGCAAACCTGAAGTTTTATTTTTTTTGTTGTTGTTGTGTGCATGCTAGTTCACCTTCAAAGCAGTGATAGAACCTGAAACTGATTTGCAGGATAGGGAGCAAGGCAGGAGTTGAGTGAGTTCTTGTTGGATCATGGAGCTGTCAGGATACCATGACGAAAACTTTTTGCACGCTCTGGACATGGAGGGTGTCCAGGTCAATCGTGAAGTGCATACAATTCCTAGAGATCTGATACATGTAAAGCCTTACATAGAAAAGAGCTATTTTGTCGTTTCTTATTCTTTTCCCCAATTGCCTAATGTGGTGGTAGGGCATTCATTGGCGTGTAAAACAAGGCTGAGTAAAACTAACATAGTGATCGTGACACATCACTCATGACGAAAGTCAAAAGCAGACGGCAGTTTTGTTGGGATCGTCATACGAATCTTTTTTCGGCTGTAGACATGTTATATCTACTCCAGCTAGTAGAGTTGGCTTCGCCGAAAAAACGAGTCGAAATACTGTTATGGCTAATTTGTTGTGGAAGAAAAATACTGTTTCAGCTAAAAAAATAAGCTGACTGTTATGGCTAATTTATTGTGGAAGAAAAATACTGTTTCAGCTGAAAAAATAAGCTGAAAAGTACGGATGATAAGAGAAACGAACCATTTGTTGCCGAACTTTCGGTGATATATGTGGCAGTTGCATTGTATGCTATACGCTGTCTGAAGGCATTGCTATTTTATTTGTGCTGGCAAAAACCTGATGGTTGCTGAACCGAGCTTTTCCTTTTCTGGGGACAGCATGTTCTTATCCAACAGATCGTACTTGTCTACTTGAGCTATGGATGATCATGGCTTCTCAGCTTTCATTAGTATTAAATATAGACTAAAAAATAATTAAGATCTTGTTTAGTTTTTTTCTCTAAATTTAGTTATGTTTGAATACATGTATGGAGTATTAAATATAGACTAAAAAATAATTAATTACACAGATTATGATTAATTTGTGAGATGAATTTTTAAGCCTAATTAGTCCATGATTTGACAATGTGGTGCTATCATAAACATATGTTAATGATGGATTAATTAAGCTTAATAAATTTGTCTGCGGATTACCGAAGACTTCTGTAATTTATTTTATTATTACTATCCGAACACTTTCATATGATATCCAATATGACACCTACCTAAACTTTAGTCTCTAAATTTAAACACCACCTTATTATTATTGTTACGCATGTGTCGAGCGGTAGACATTTCTTCTACAGTGTGGCTAATCTTGCGTCAGATATCGGCCTCGTTCGGCTTACTCCATATTCGGTTTGTTCGACTTTTTTTTTCAGCTGGAACAATTGTTTTTCTCTCACACCAATTTAGTCAGAACAGTATTTTTCAGCTAGTTTCAGACAAAATTCTGCCAGCCAAACGGGACCGTCCGAGGTGAAACAGTGTGTTGCCTTTGCCTGTCCTGTGAACTGCGCAAGGCAGAAGCAATGAACGTGAGTTCACCGCAAATGTTACATGGCCGTATCTCTTTGGACCTTAATAAGATTTCACAGCAAGAAATCTTCAGCCTTTTCGTTTTCAGCTGGAACGATCGTGAATTATTACTGCTGACTGGTTTAATATGAGAGAAAAATACTATTTTAACTTATAATCCACTATCGTTTCCGACCAAGCGAAAAGACTATTTGCTTTTCTGATAATTTTAACTCGCTGCTTCTGTGCTTCGGTCTCTGGTAGTCTTTACCTCTCGAATCCAGGGTTCAAGCTCGGGCACCCGATTAATCCACGTCGCCCGTTAGTCAACAACCGTAGGATCTGGCGAAAAAACAATATTGACCGTTCGATCGGGCTCGTAGCGGGTCTCCTCCATTGAGGCACGAACCCGGAAGGTCAGGAATGCTCGCGAACCGACCCGTCACCTCCGCGCCGCGTCTCCCTCCTCCCGGTTGCTCCACCGTCCCCCGCACCTCTTCCCTTCTCCTCCCCAGGCACGGCGCGAAGCGCGCAATGCCGGCCGCACTTGGCGCGGGCGAATCGAGTTGGGCGCGAGGTGAGGCAGGTCACGACCGGCGTGGGGCAGCGGCGCTGGTGGAAGGGCGGCGTAAGACACGGCGACCTCGCCCGCCGCTCCGCCCACCGTGTGCTCTACCTTGCACGCCGCTGCATCCGCAAGGACGCACCTTTCTTGTCTGCCCCAGCGCCTTTTGCCTAGCCGCGGGATGCAGGCCGAGGAAACACACGCGATGCGCTAGGAGGCAGCACGAATCCGACTTCATAGCGCGCTTCTGTGCGTGGCTGCCGCCACCGTAGCCCGACTGCCGTGGGTCATGTCGTGTAGCAAGCCTGCGTTGGCGCACGGACGTGGTTGGCTTTGCGCCACGCCTATCGACGGCAGTTCGCAGATGGCCGGGGATGGTGCTCGTGCCAGCCACTGTCGTGCACACTGCCTGCTTGATGAAATGCCATGGTGCGACGTCACGGGGCTTCGCGGGCTTCATTTGCAGGATTGGCCACGCTGCCATCGCACCATGTCGCAGGCATGCACACCTGTGGTCCTTCACCTGATAGATATGGACAACAACGAGGACGAGGCGAGCAGTGACGCCAACTACGTCTTGTTCGACCTTGAGACCTTCCCCAGCTGGTGGCGGACAACGACAATCCCTCTGAACAACACCTATAGGCATCTCTATAACACAGGTACGCAAACAACTGAAGCAAATAAATGCATCAGAGTTAGCTCAAACACTTCTGTTACTTCAATTCCAACATGTATATAACAATAAACTTCCTTGATTACATTTTTGTTTAATTTACATGATATGGATTTATAACAATTTTCTGGCCAATCATACACAGCCAACTCACGAAAGAAGGTCATGCGTAACATTATTTTTTCTCTCACAACAATAATATTTTAGTCCATAAACAGGCCCTTAAGAAGCGCAAAATCAAAATGCTGGAGTGAATGATAAATTTTTAGGCCAATCATACACAGAGAAGGAGCTCGTCGATAAGATTTGTAGTTAATTCCATGATAGTTTGCATATCTCAGTTTGTAAATTTCATCAACATCAATGTGCTATTCACTAAAAATTTTATCTTTTCACATGAATTGTGCGGCTGCTTCTGATTCAATTGTCAGGCTGTCCAATACATTAATCACATTAATCTTATATTATAATTATAATATCAAAATACATGTTGCTTTCAAGTTACTTTTCTCTGCTGTATATGCTGAGCTGCCGCTTGCTCCACACCTCAAGTATAGTCTTGGCTCTTAATTGTTTCAACTGCATTGTTTTAAAATCCTAAATTCTGTACTATAAACATGCTTGTGTGATAGCAAGTTCTACAGTAGATGGTCATTGCAGAGTGCTCCCTCCTAATTTTAATTCCATGACCCTCTCGGCCTCTCCGTTTCTTTATTGCACTTGCAGAATTTTACATGTATTTTGTAAGATAGAACAACAAGTGCAAGGCGAAATTAGAATCCTAATCCTGAGCTCATCATCGTTGACCGACACCCTTAATCCACCACCAGTTTTGATGCAATCGAGTTGACAACGGCATTATCATCGGCCGCCGTCCTTAAGCCCGATTGCTGGTTTCAAAGGCTCCCGTGGGTGAGACAAGAGTGCAGGAACCAGAAGGTAAACAATCCTCATTCAACTCCTACTCTTGATCTATGTACTTGGGTTTGTAAATAAACCAGATTCCAGTTGTTTTAAATCATCTAGACCCCCTTTGTTCTTAATTCACTTGGCTGGATCATCTAATTTGAGCACTGAAAATCACTACCAATAGTTGCAAATCATCTGCCTCCTCTCTATTCTTAAATTACTCGGCTAGAGCATCTAAATTTAGGCCCGAACAAAACTAAATAAATAGTGAGCACCAGTATGAAAAGTGGATAAAGGAAAAGGAGGTGGGGTGACACCATTGCTAACTTCTATACTACACAAGCATCATTTATCTATCATTTCCTCTGAAATTGTCATACAATTTAGCTTTCTATTCAGGTTACATAGTTGTTATGAATAGTATACTACTGTCATATCGCTTTTGGCAAAAATCGTGTGAATCGAATCGAACTGGTATTTATTAACAAGAACTACCAAATCATTAGATAAATATATTCATCAGAAGTGCACCAAACAAAGAAAAAAATATAGACCTGAAAAAGTAGCCAATATTGAATTCTTTGCTTCATTTTTAGATTAGTAGTGATCCTTGATTCAGATCTTTTAGCATTACATAGGAATATTTTGCATCAAAGAGTCCCTTACAACTTAATCTAAAATACTTCTATTGTTCATGTGGAGAGTGACCATGGTGAAACGGGTGGACCTGTAATTGTTGGAAGCAGGTGGACCTCTAATCGTTTGAAGCTGATGTTGAAGCTCTGGTTTATGAGGGTGCTAACATTAACAGCTTTATATTGTTTGAATAGCCTAATCACTTAATCGTTACGACCAAATTTGTACTGAAAAACATATTGTAGCCACTCAGACATTCAAAGCAGAACTACCCAAAGCTTTATATTTACCTATAACATTCACACGTAATTACGTAAAATAAATTGAGATGGACTCAAATAGTAACCATACAATATTTGTAGTTCAAACTTTCGTACAGGAATTCTTATAGGTATATATTGTAATACATTGATAGCTCTGTTAAAGTGTTAACTATACAGGCTGCCGCGCCTGGTTTTCTAGTGTTTGTTGCCTGTTGTGGTATTCTTCAGATATGGATCCTGGAAGCTGACTTCTAAAAGCGTTAGACATGAGTTGTGCTGAGATAAACAAGTATTAATAATAAAATTCCCATAATGTCCTCACTCTTTGTTTTCTTTTGCTTTGCTATGGAAAAAGAGAGGCATAATAGTCTTTTGATGTATAGAAGCTGGTTCCTCAGCTTACAGATTATGGAATTTAGGGGTCTCTTGATTTCAAAAGGAGTCATGCCTAGATTCTAGAAGCTAGCTTCTACAATCTTTATAAACCCAAACAGGCATATGTAGTGCTACCTCTGTCCAGAAAAAGAAAGCAATTCTAGGTGTATTCTTGGTTAAAGTGCCCAAACTTTGACTAAATATATAAATTTTATGATGCCAAATAAGAGTATTATGGACAAAGGAAAATATATCTCACGTGTTCATTCAAAAAAAATATTTTAATGATACTTATTTTATATCATAGCTATTTATACTTTTCTATATATAGTTAGTTAAACTCGAGATATTTTAACATGGTACAGTCTAAAGAAAGAAGCTAGCAAAATCTTGATTACATTTGGATCCTATTAAAATTAAACCTAGTCACTAATCCAAGTTTAGTCTTTATCCCTGGATGATACCGACTTCAGATTGGTTCTTAACAAGTCCCACCCAAACGTCTCATGGCCAATGCACGTCTCTGCTTCGAGCTCGCCCGTGAAAAGCGAGATTTCAACTATAGAGAGACGAAACATGCGGCATGGTCCTAAGCTCGCGTCTGGCTTGGACGCGATGCGCTCTGTGTTAGAGTATCTCCAAAAATCTTTCTTAAACTCGTTCTCTAAATTATCATTTAGAGAGTAATTTGAATAAAAAATGTTCTCTATTAGAATACAACTTCTCTATATTTTGTCCGCACTTTAGAGAGCCAGCCCTGCTGTCTATATTTGACTAGCGATAAATTTGAATAAAGGATGGCTATATTTGAAGATCTAATTGAAGAAGCTGTTAGAGGAAAAATTTTCACCAAAATCTCTATTACCAAATTTTTCACCAAATCTCTATGACTTCGCGACTTAGACATGTTAAACATTATCATAACACTTTGTCATTTTATCAATTGTATTGAAAGAACCGAGTCCGAGAGAATCCCAAGAAATCAGAGATGAAGAAATCGACATGACTATCCCCTTTCTAAAAGCCAAATACCAAAGGGATTAAACCCCCAACGCTAGCTTCAAATTATAATACACTTTGGCGCCGTTCGCTGGTCGGCTGACCCCTCACATTTTACTGTTCATCAAACCAACCAACAATGTTTCTCTCTCACACAACCAGCCAGTTTCAGCCAAGTTGAACGGGGCCTTTATTTTGTTCTAAGCCAAATTTATTTAATTTAACTAGTATTTTCAAAAAATATATTAACATCTATAAATTCAAATAATTGCATTATAAAGACATATTTATAAGGGTTTATGAAACCAATTTGATATTGTAAGGTCAAAACTTAGTCGAATTAAATTTAGAGAAGTTTGACTTAACACAAAGTTAAAGCGATGTTAGCATAGCATTTTAAAAAGATAGCACTGACATCGTGGCCCCCACTGCTCAGTAACAGGCGATGACCCCCTAGAACTGTTAATTAACAGCCCACTAACTAATAACGGAAGCGAACGAGGGGGAAAAAAAAAAAAAAAACGAAAAACCTCTCCCTGTCTTCCTTTCCGTCTCGTCTCCCTCGCGTCCCCATCTCCTTCCTCATCCTCGCGGCCGACCTCCAAACCCTAGCCCACCGCCGTGCCGACTCCCCTAGCCAGCCACTACGTCGAATAGGGCAGCGGCGGAGGCGGCAGCCTGATGCCCACCCCCCCGTGGGGGCCATGGAGCTCGTCCCCGTCAAGCCAGCGGCCGGAGCTCTCGTCGAGGTGGGCTCCGGGTCCGTGGCCGGCGCGGGCTCTATCCCGGCGATGGTGGCGGCGCAGCAGGAGCTGCTGCACGAACAGGTGGACCAGCTCCAGCGCCTCGTCGTCGCTCAGTGCCGCCTCACCGGCGTCAACCCCCTTGCCCAGGAGATGGTCAGCAACTCCCGTCTTCAATCCTTGCCTTGTTCTATTGAGCTTCTCCCATTTACATAATGTGAGCTGGGCAATTTCTAGTTAAGTAGCATGTGAATTTTTCTTCGGGGATATATGAGCTGAGTTTGCTGTTCTTATTTTAGGCTGTGCTTCATCATAGTTCCTATATACTGTGGCGCTCCATGGTGGGAACTGGAAAGTTATTTGTGTTCCGAAACTAGGAAAGTTATTCTAATATTTAGATTATGAATGCTTGTGTTATTATGAAATACAACTAAAAAAAACCTATTTGTTGACTGCAGCATTGTTGAAAAAAACTTTTCTGATCCTTCCTTAGTGCAATTGTTAAACCATTATTAACTTCATTAAATTGTTGATTGTGTTGTATACAGCGTTGCAATGCTATTGTGTTTGTGTGTTATGGATTATGAACATCAAAAGAACAAACTTTTGAGTGGATGCTGGATATTTAGGTTGAAGATTGCCGGAAAACAGTTTTTCTGCTTCCATGTTTTGCTTGCTCGCCCTCTTTCTGTGTTATTAGCTTTCTATAGCGTTCAAACATACTGCATGTCCGTGAGCCATCATCACTGTTTTCAGCTAAATTATTTTGATTCATCCATTGACTTATGTTGCACTTGGTTGGTTCTTGCAGGCTGCCGGTGCATTGTCTATCAAGATAGGTCAGTTTGTCCACATCAATTGAATTCACATTGGCACAGCATGTGTGGTGGATGTCTTAAAATGACATGGACACCATGATGTAGCGTAGCTAACATACGGCAATATGCTGTTTTTTGAACCTGATTGCTGAAAAACGTCATGAGCTTGCGCTTGAATTCTCCCAGAATCTAAAGTGACACAAGATCTGGTTTTTCTTCAATTATTCCATAATTTTTGTAATTATTGCATGTTGTTCTAACTTCTAAGCACTATTTAATGTTAGTTAAAGCTTTGCAGGTAAGAGGCCAAGGGATCTGTTGAATCCAAAAGCAGTTAAGTACATGCAGTCACTTTTTGCCTTGAAGGACACTCTTGGCAAAAAAGAAACCCGAGAAATTAGTTTACTCTGTGGGGTCACTGTTACACAGGTCTGCTCCACATCTCAGATGGGATACTTTTCTGTACTTTGATTTGATGTATTATGTTTTTTTTTGTGTGCCCTCATAGACCTGTTTATAACACTAAAAAAAATGTTGTCAAAACAATTGGACAGAATCCGTAGAACTGGTTTCAACAGGACTAGGCTTATTTTTTATTTGTAGTCTAGTAAGTAGACTGTATTTTTCTTTCTTCTTTTCCCCTACATTCAAATTAATCACACTGGTTGCTTTTATTCTTACTGTCTGTTACGCGAACGGGGCTCTAGTTGAGTTGGTTAGGTGGCTCTAGTAGCACTCCTGGTCCTGGGTTCGACTCCTTGTGGGAGCGAATTTCAGGCTGGGTTTAAAAAAAAAACCTCGTCTGTCCACACGCCAAAGCACAGATCTAAGGTCTGGCCCAAGGTCGTGGTCGTTCTCACATGGGCTACGGTGCCTCTGTGTATGGATGGAGCAGGGGTTCGGGGGTTTTCTCGACGTGTGTGAGAAGGTCTTAGCAAACTGCCAGGCGGGGTTGAGTTTTTTATACCTTGTTTTTTTTCCCCAATTTTTTAATGTACATTTTTCATGTAATGACCTGCACGTTAATAAATGTTAGGTTAGGGAATTCTTTACAATTCAAAAATCGCGAGTGAGGAAATTTGTTCGTCTGTCTCAAGAAAAAGCGCTGAGAGTAGAAACACCCAAGGAGCAGGACAATGCATACTCCGTAAACACTGAGCAGATACCATTGGACATAGAGGCACAAGCTGAAGTTATCGAACCTCTGAGCACTTTAGAACCAGTGGTCCTACATAGCTCTTTGCAACCAACAGATGCCCCTCAGGTCTCTTTGCAATCAATGGAGCTCCAACAAAGCGATCTGCAGCATATGGAAGTCTTCCAAAACTCTTTGCAACAAACAGAGGCCCAACAGAACTTTGCAGCTCCTATGATGCCATCTGGAACAATGGTTATGCAACCAACTGATGCTAAGATTAGCTCAGACTCTGTTCGAAAGGAAATTAAGCAAGAGGAAGTTCATCCTGGTGTTGAGTCAGAAGATAAGAAGTTCTTGGAAAGTATATTTGCTCTAATGCAGAAGGAGGAAACATTCTCTGGGCAGGTCAAATTAATGGAATGGATTCTGCAAATAAATAATGTTACAGTTCTTAGTAGGTAAGATATCAGCTCTTTAGTACCAAGTGAGCTTTCAATCAATGATCATATTTATACTTGGCTTCACCTTTCCAATAACTATTCAGGTTCGTAATGATGGGTTGTTTGACCATTATGTCAACATGGTTGAGTCAAGCAGCAATTGAAGAGCAAACATCGGTTATCCATGTTATTTTCAAGGTTCTTATATTTTTCTTTGGTGAACATGTAATGTACTTATCTGGGTCATGTATTTTTTTTTTTGACTCATATTACTGGTGTAGGTGCTGCTCCACCTTCCGTTACATAAGGCTTTACCAGTCCACATGTCGGTTGTTCTGCAAACAATTAATAGGTTGCGGTTTTATAGAACACAAGGTGTGTATAAATCACCACAAGGCTTCTCTATTTTGCGCATACTTATTGGATGGTGGCATTTTACTTTACTATTATTTGGAAACTTGATCTTCTAAGATAAAATGCTGTTGATTTGCACCCTTTGCGATGATATTTTGAATTAGTGATTTGGAATCTTTGATCCCATTGAGAAGATGAAATAGGAACTCTGCTGAGACTGAGAGCACCTTAAGGTTGTGATAGTTGGGTCTTTTGATTATAATAAAGTGGCAAAAAGCTCAATGTTTTGATTGCTTTGTTATGATTCACTTCTCCAGTTTGGTATCGATGAGATGCCATTGCCCATCATAATTCTATCTGATGCATCTGTTCTAGCATTTGTTTCCATTTCATATTCCACACTAATGTTGTATTAAGATATGCACATATAGATGTTCCTTTTTCTTTGGCCTGGTTATTAGAACTTATCTGATTCCAAAATCAGACATATCGAGCAGGGCTAGGAACCTCTTATCCAGATTGAGCAAAGTGCTTGTAAGGATTCAGGCATTGAAGAAACCTCAGAAGGACTTGATATGTAAACAAAGGTGAATTTTCCTTTCTAACACTGACACTGCAGTGCTGTCACCCCTGTTGTTTATTTCTACCTTTTGTTTGAAGGAGCAAATTATAGTTTTATATTTTCTTTTGCAGGATAAGTGAAATTCTCCGTGATGAGTCTTGGAATTCTGAAGTTGATATTACCGTAAGCATCTAAGTGATACCATGTATGTCAGCAGAGTAGCTTTACTTTGCAATTTTAACTTTTGTGCTCTTACCAGGAGGAGATACTTGCCTTGACTGATGGTGCTAATGAGAGCAGGTACTTTTCCTATATGGTCTCTGCATTGAGCATGATTGAATTGCAGTAGAGCAAAATGATGTACCTAACGTCCATTTGACTAGTATAATTGTAGTTTGACCTTGTTTCTGTGTCATTGTGCAGAAAGCCTGAGCCCAGAAAAACACCAATGCTTCTCACTGCTTCTGCTGATGAGGCAAATAAAAGGAGTTCTGTGCAGAAAAGTATCCTTTACCTAAATATAGATTCACCTCTATATATAATTTTGTTTCTCTCTCTTTTTTTGTGAAATATGGTCAGCTAATACCATTCCATGTATATAGGCTATTAAAGAATATATTTATTTCATCTACAGCTTCCAAGCATGTACAATTCTATGTCTTTATGGTGGTTATCTGAAGCAAATAACTTTCATCTGTATTGTTCTGTACTAATATCTTTGGTGGATTTTAATAGTAGCTTGGCAGTGACTTTCACCTTTTATACAAAAGAACTATTTAGGTAAATAGCATTGCTTAAAAGTTTGTTCTGAGATGTTTGTGTTTAGTCAATAAGAATTTTGCTAAATTTAATGATTGTCTATTCTGTAAGGTTTTCTAGGTCAGGCTATGTATTTTTTAGTTATTATTAATTGCTTGTGAAGAATGGTAAAAAGCCTGTTGATTTGTTCATTCATTATTTCTCTTGGTACTTACTGTAGCTCAAACTGCCTGAGCGTATTTCCTTATCTGATCTCCAGACTCCAAACAAAAAAGGAAAGTTCAACTTGTGGAACATCCAAATAAGAAAGCTGTGGGGAAGAATGCTAATTCTGTCAGGAACACATCCACAAACAATAGCAGGCCATTATCTGCAGATGATATTCAAAAAGCAAAGATGCGTGCCATGTTCATGCAGGAGAAGTATGGCAAGATTGACACAAATAAAGCGAGTGATAAACCACAAGCAATGGATACGCAAAAAACAGCTGGATTAGTAAATTCAAATGCATCACCTATGCCCATAAGCCCCCATACATCAGCTGCACGACCTGTTGACCCAAGCCCATCTACTTCTAAACAAAGCACAGATTCTTCTCAGCCTGATAATACAGAAATCTCAGGTGGTTTGAAGTTAAACATAGGTTCCAAAAATAATGTTATAGAGAAGTTGGATTCCAAGAGAGTTCTTTGGCAAATACCACCAGGTATATTTTTGCTTTGTGCTCCTCGATTTCCCATTCTTTTGAATGTTGAATAGTTCTGAGCTGCTTATTGGACAATGAAAATCAGCAAAAGTTGTGCAGAAGTTCAAGAACTAAGCATGCTGTCACCAGTGCAAGCCTCTGAAGTATTTACATTAGGCATCGTTCTCCAAATCAGTGTGCTTCTGTGATCCAGCTTCAGTCAAAATGGAAAAAATACCCCCCAATCCAGCACTTGTGTTGTATATTCCCTAATTCCATAAACAACTCGACTAAGAAATTTAGTGGCTCTCCTGCGTCGTTCGAGAAAGAAAATATTGACATTTAACTCATGTATCTGACCCTAAAAAATTAGTAATGAAACAGTTTTTCTGAAGGGACGGTTGGCTGTAGGAAGCCATCCTTATTTTGTGTGCACTCAACTTATTCAGAATGTAACACTTCATTTGGACCTATGAGTTCGCTGCCTTAACTTTTGAACGAGCAGTGGACTGCAGTGCAGTTTTCTGAAATGGCACGAGAGATTAGCAACCATGGTTATGCACTTGTGTACTGTATCCTGAAACAAGGATCTATCCTGTGTCTCGAATCAGTTTATTGCTATTGTTGTCAAGTTGGAAGGTTTGCAAGCCCATAGCTATTGTGCACTGTCCAATGCTAAATGGTGTTTTTTCCCCTGCATTTGCAGATATGCATATAAGCATAAAAATTACTTAACACTTGTACTCCCTCCTTTTCTTTTTGTAAGGTGTGATTTGACCTGGCAGGCTGGCACAGTCTCTAACGTCACATTTTGACCATTGACATCTTATCTATCGTTATGCTCATGATTATGAATTTAAAATCATATGAAAGCAGTGTTAAATATGAATTCAGTGGTACCAAATTTGCTTGGTATGATCTACAAATTCTTAGATTAAGTGTTAGTCAGAAGGTTAACAAGTTTGAATCTTACAAAAAGAAAAGGAAGGAGGACCTTTTTATTATAGATAAATGGTTCAATCAAATAGCACCTAATATTCCTCCATGTACACCCAACTTTTTAGCGTCTTCGATAAATTTTATTAGTAAAAAGATGAAATACTAATCCGATAAATTTTTATTCACCAAAGAACACCTGCTATTTCCCCACGAACATCGCACCATTTTAATTTCATTTGCTCAAAAAACCTTGACGAGCTGGGCTCTGCTTGATTACTTCACATAAAATGAGTTCCTGAGAATTGTGTTCAAATTCATTTTCTGGGAGTTAGCAGATGGAAAGGCCTGCGATCCTTACTACTTATATTAGATGCTGAGTACATCGGAGATATGTTGCGTACCAAATGTTGTAATTACTAGTGGGCAAATTCAATGTTGATTCCATGGATTGCCATATTTCCTTGTTTCTTACATAGTATCAGTGTGCCTGTAGTTATCTGACCTGGGGCTATAGTAGCATAATTTGTGGTAGGCCTATTTATTTATAACATCTGAAGCAGCCACTGATCTTCCTGGGATCCTCGTCCATTACTAGTGAAGCTCTGTGATGTCTGCCACTGTTGATTCGACTATCAGTGAGATGTGCCGTAATTTCGAAATACAGAACTTGCAAAGCCCATTACAGAGAAGCTAAGAATCCTTGTTATACAAAACCAGCTTGAGAAAGCTATTTGCTAACTATTGTGATCATGAGAACGCTAGTATGTTACCTATTGCAGTATTTTTGAAGTTTTAGCTTTTGTAACTTGCTATGTTCTTTTAGGAGATTTGCTAAAAGGTTGACTTCCACAACATTGGCTTATTTGATCATTATTTGAAATCTATTGCCTCTTGTTGCAGCGGTATGGATAGACCCCTCATGGAGTGTAGGAGCTGGTGACAACAGCAAGGAGGTCGAGGTTCAAACACAGAGAAACCGGCGTGAAAAGGAAACCTTTTATGCAAGTCAGAAGGATATCCCAATGAATCCAAAGGATCCATGGGATCTGGAAATGGACTTTGATGACAGCCTGACCCCAGAAATTCCAATTGACCAGGTGCCAGATGTTGACGCTATGGAAACGGATAGTGTTCGCGCAGCACCTAATGCTGTGGCTCCTGTTAAGGACAAGCAGATTGAATCTACATCATCAGCATCAGGTGCAGTTGCTGATGGTGCAGGTGCTGATACCGATTATGAATTGCTTACGGTGCTACTCAAGAATCCGGAGCTTGTTTTTGCATTAACATCTAATAACAAAGGGGAGAACATGCCTAACGAACAGACCATTGCACTTCTGGATACACTGAAGCAGACTGGCCTTAGCCTTTCAGAGCTTGTTAACTGTCTGGGGAATGGTGCTGGGTTTCCGAAAGAGCCAGAGCCAGAGGCAGAACCTCTTCCTGCTTCGCTTCCATCACCAACTCCACCAGACCGTACATCAACGGTTTGTCTGCTTGCTTTTCCATGTTATCCAGCGTTTATTCCGTCTTCTGTTATTCATGTGATATTTCTTTCGCAGGCTGTCTGGAGACCAGAAAACCCAATGCAGGTGAGGGCTATAAACTTGCAGCAGCCATTTTGTCAAGCAGGGGGAATACACCTCCTATTGCAAATGCCATGCAACAAAGCTTCTCAAATGTTGTCAGTTTGTTATCCTCACAACCTTATGCTTCAGTTTCGGTTTTGCCGGCACAGATTCAAGCTAACACCCCATCTCTACCACAGTTGGCTGTCTCTGTAAATCCGCCAATTCAACATGTTTCCCCTGTGAATAACCATCCGAATAGAGCTTTAGTAAATCAGCATAACCAGCAATACGTTTTGTTATCAGATCCTGTTGCCACGCCCTTGCATCAACAAGCAGCGGTGAGCAAATCAACCCATGGACTCCAGAGCATCCCGAACCCTGCTGTAGCACGTTCGTCGTTGCCTGAGCCTAATGCATCTTACACAACACTCCCTTGGCAATCTAGTGCTGCTGACATCACCCACACTGGACGAAATGCAGCGGCTGATCCATGGGCAGCCCGCACAACTAACTCATATAATACTGCATCAGCAAACACAGTGCCGTTTGCTAACCAGAATGCTTACAGTGATCAAAGCTCGCACAGTGCATACAGTTCGTATGGTTCTGCGCCAGTCTTGTCCCATTCTGTTCTACCAGGGCACGGACATGACAGAAATGGTTACAGCCGACCTCAAGTGGCAGAGTACCAATCGATGGTGCAGGACAGCCACCGGAGACGCTCAAGGTCACCTGATCCTGGCATGGTCCGGGACTATGGCGGCGTGCAAGGTTATAATCAGCAGTCACGAACACATTGGAGTGCAGGGCGAGGGCAACAGAGCTACAATCCTGACCCCTCAAGGCAATGGAGTTCTTCCCAGGCACACCAGGGCTACACACCTGCCGAGTCCTCAAGGCAGTGGAGCACTTCGCACCAGAGCTACGCTCCTGAGCCGTCGAGGCGGTGGAGCTCTGAACGTCAGGGCTACAGTGTTGAGCCCTCGAGGCCTTGGAGTTCCGGCCAGCAGGGCCAGAACCCGGAGGCATCCAGACAATGGAACCGGGGAAAGCAAGATCCTTACTACATTCCGAGTGATGGTCGAAGATCATACGATCAGCACCGGAGGAGATAACAAAAGCTGTACACTACATTAGCTAGATCCTGGAGGGAGGCGGTCGGTTCTTGGGAGGTTTTCTTTCATTTGATTTGATGTGAGGCCGGTTATTCGTTACATTGGGCTTTGTGATTGCACAAGGTCCATTGAGAAAAGCTATAGATCATGTATCAATCTAGTTTTGTCTCAAAATGAAAAAAAAATGTATCCATCGAGCTGGAGAGGGGAGAGAAGAAAAATGAATGAATGAATGAATAGCACAGAAAGAGATAAGAGGCGCCGGTTCGAATTAATTGCAGGTTTGAGTGCTGAATCGAATGATTGGTCAAATTTCGACTGTACTCGTGTTGTCCACCCAAGGTCTTTTAATTCTAGGCGTGTTTGTGCAAAATAGTAGCGAACTCTATCTAGGGCTGCCACTTGCTCTTTGCAGCCGACGGATTGCATCGCCTTTCGGTTTGTCCAGAAAAAAAAATGGAGCAGAAGTATCGTCGAAAAGCGTGAGAGTTGGGTCCGTGTTGCTTTCTGCCAGATGCTATCACGTGAAAAATTTTGCTCATTTAAGGGAAAACCTCCCAACCTGATTGAAATAATAGCCTGATCAGTTGAGATTGCTGTAGCAGCGCTGCAGCTGCACAGCACCACCCAACCAACTCCAACAGCACTACCGAATCTATGCAGCTGCTGCTGCAGCCACAGCCTAAGGCCCTCTTTGTTCCAAATAAGTCACCTACTTATAAGTTAAAAAGTAAAAAAATGACTTATTTTGTCAAACACCACCAACTTATAAATCACTCCTGCTTATAAGTTTTAAGTTGGTTCACCCCTACTTAAAACTTACAAGTCACCCTTTTTCGCGTGGGACCCACATCTTTAATGAGCTTATAAGTCATCTACAACCAAACAAACATGACTTATAAGTTACTGGTTTTCAGTCACCTAACTTGATAAATCACCTGACTTATGAAAACCAAACAGACCCCAGCTCAGCCGATCAGCCTGACTGCTACTCCACGTGCTAGGCCGTTAAAAATTGACCGGTCTGCATAGAGGATCTCCGGCCCTACCTGCTCCCTCTCAAACCAAATCTATCATTTATTTACCCTTATTTTTGTATATCATTTACAGCTCCCTCATGCGGCCACGTTGCCAATGTTTATCAGCCACCTGATCCACCATCTACGGCCTGAAAACATCTGTGTCCTGACTGCCTCCAGATATTTCCAGTTCCAGCCCATGCACACGGTTCTTCCTCCCCCTTCCGTCCTATGTGCCCCCTAAGAAAAAAGAAACTTCCTCTCTCGAAGATTCCGACGCGCTCAACTCGGCCGCCGCGGTCGCTGCTGCGTCCCAGACACGCCCTACGCGCCTGCCGCAGTCGTCCCCTCGCGCTCGCCTCCCACGTGCGCCCGCCTCGGCCGCCGCCGCCGGCAGCACCCTACCTTCGCCTGTGCGCCCGCCGCACACGCCGCCGTCCTACGGGCTCGCCGCAGCCGCGCCCTAAACGCCGACGTCAGGTTTCACACTTTCTCCTATTTGCAATTTAATTTGGTTAACGTACTATATCTGATGCCTCTCTTTTAGTCCAAGTCCTGGAGGCGCAACGCATGGGTTCAGGACTGCCGCCACGTCTTCGCCAGGCATACGTGCAACGCCGAGCAGCGCTGCGCCGTCGTCTTCGCAAGGTCTCGCGGATGGAGGCCTGCATCTCATTTGATGTTCCAATATTCCATACCAACTCTCAAATGCTCTATACTTGCTCCTCTGATCCATGCCGCTCTATAATTTCTCCTCTGATCCATGCCAGTGCTGTACTGTGCAATGCAATTTTTCTAGGTAATACAGGTGATTTCAGTTTTGTTTTTGCCAAATGCCAAAATGAATATGTTTGCTCTTTATCAATCAGTAATCTAACGTTTTAATTTTTCTAATGCTCGACTAATGATGTATTATCTGAACTTATGAGGTTGCTCATTCTGTTGCATAACACATTCCCAGTGCGTTTTTTGGTTCAGGTCATAGTCCAAGAAACATAACCAAACATTACTTTCGGATTTTTTGATTTTTTTTGCAAACAATAATAAAAACAAAGTAACATATTAGCAGTAAGTTATCAATAGAGCGAATGTAATTTAGATAGAGGACTTAGATGCTGCTTGGAATATGATCTGTTAGTACTTCAGAGTTTCAAACCATGTGATTGACTCTGAATATATTTGATATACTATATTTTTCTTTTGCTTGGTGCTGTGCCACTTAAATTTGTATGCCTCTGCAGTTTCACATACACTATTTATAGAGGGATTGAGCCATGGCAGGAGACGAGGTAGCTTTGAAGCAGAGCAAGAACATCCGTCCATGTGACGACAATAGCAGTGCCACGGTTGAAGTGGAGTAGAAGGGATGCACTACCTGATTCTGTACTGCCCAAAGGCAAGGTATTATTAGCCTTAGCTTGAACTACGAGATAATGTGCTGACAGTTTTCGGAAACTTCACTAAATTCTCTTTTTTCCACTTTGAATCTGTGCAGTCACACAGATCTGATAAACTTCACAACCTTGCTAGACTATATTCTTTCAATCTGGGTAATTCATAAATCTGAACAAACGTTGCAATTTCCAAGTCACTTCCCTTATTCGCTTCTTTAACGAAATTTATTACAATGAGTGCTAAACTTGATAGTAATGCAGTATAAAGGCAAATTTTCATTTTTTTTTGCTATCATTTCAACACTAAGTGCTTCGCTTACGTTTCTATGCAGGTCATCCAAAGTCGCAAACTACGATCTACTATCATCATATACAAAAAGGGTGCCCAAACCCAGGAATTAATTCATTCTTTTCTTCCGTGTAGGCTTAGAATAAACATGTAACTTGAACCTTTTATGATCTTTTTGTTTGGTAATCCACAGATAATAATGCAGCGCCGATTGCTACACTCACCTAGCGCCCGCTCATTGCGCGGGGGAACTGCCTAGTTTAAGAATTAGGATAAAAAAATAGCTTCAAATTCGAGAAGACCCTCAAACCACCCTCCAATCTCCTATTTCTGGGGGCTATCTATCCGGCCCCTGCTTGGCCGTTGAAGTGGTTTTCCACCTGCTCGCGACGCACCTCTCTTGGGCGATCTCCCTCAGCCCGGCACGGCTCCTCTTCTCCCGATGAGGTCACCTGTAGCTCTTTTTCACCTGGCATGTACGACTCCTCTTGGTTCTTGACGGTTCCTCTGCGACTTTGCCTGACGCGTCTGATCCCATCCCTGCAAGATCCGAGATCTCGATGTGCTCCTCGCGGGGACGTCTCGATGCGGGTCCTCCCTAGCTCCCAGCATTCCCGACCTCGACCTCGCCTGACGCAGCTTTCTCGTCATGGGAGATCTTGGCCAGACGTGGCTCTTGTCATTGCACGTGATCTTGACCCGACGTTCTCCTCTCCTCGTGGAGAGATTTGATGCAGCACCTCCGGCGAGGTCTCGACGACACCTCCCTGCTACCAACGTCCCCCGTTCCTGCCTCCTTTCTTTCTAGCCCGCATAGCTCATTAAGTAATGGCGGGAAGGAGCAAGGAGGAGATGACATGTAGATGCTATGTGTCATTGTCGGTTGAGAGGGATTTGATGACCCTGATTTAAAGGTTGTTGCTAGAATGGGCATAAAAAATTTGTGCTCTTAAAAATAAGAGGAACTATCAAAATCAAGAGTAGGAGCCCTAGTTTGAAGGCTCCGGTTGACTTTAGTTACCTAACAATTAATATAGAGTAATTAATTCTAGTTGACTAACCACCACTCCAATCAGGTATACGAGAACGGGTAAACGACGGCTTGAGCTCACGCGTGTGAGCGCTTCCAACCGTGCCTGGACTCTTCACTCTAGTACTGGTCGGAGGTGGAGCGGAGCACGTGTGCACCGTGCACGCATGATGGGCATCCCATTCGTAGTCGTAGGCCGGTCACTCGGGGTCGGGGGGCTGGCGGCTGCCGCTGGTCGGCGCACCGCACGCGCACGCGCTCGCGCTCCACCCACACACGGGACGGGGGACCCCTCCAGAAAACGCGGAAAAACACGCGAAACAGGCGAGGAAAAAGCTCTCCCCGGCACGGCAAATACCTCCCTCCTCGCCCTCCTCGACTCCACTCCTCTCCCGTCTCCCCGCTCCCGCATCCCCCGTTCCTGTCCCGTCGCGACAAAGCCAAACACGTAGTAGGCAGCAAAGCGACGCGTGTCCGTTCCGCTCGCGATGGCCACGGCGGCCGTGGCGAGGCACCACCACCAGCACCGCCAGCAGCGGGGTGCGGAGCGGTGGCGGGGGAAGGGGCGGCGCGGCGGGAGCGGGAGCGGGAGCGGGATACGGTGCTCGTCGCCGGCGCAGGAGTTCGCGTCGCTGGCCGCGGTGTTCCGGCGGAGGCTGGTGGTTGGGGCCACCACAGCGGCGGCCGCGGCGGTGGGGGCCAACTTCGGCAGCGTCACCAGCTTCCTGCTGAGCCTGTCGCCGGAGCTCGGCCGCTCGCTCCGCCTCGACGTGCTCTACCCCGTCGGCGGCTTCACGCGCTGCCTCGACTCCGACAATGGGTTCGGTAAGCACCCACCGCCGCCTCTCTTCCTCCACATCTTGTTCAGCCCTCTCCAACCGGCATTCGCATGTGCTGGTACTATACATGGCTTCATTTTGGAAGAAGAGTACCTTGAAATTGAATCCGAGGGGTGATTAATTGCTCGCAATCGTTTTGCTTTTGCCGTTCCATCTTTGCTAATTGACTTTTTGCCTAGTGCTATTGGTAGTTAGGTACTCGTCAACAACAGAAGCAAACAGACGCAACAAATTGAAATGCTCTCGGTCTCCTTCCTCGTGAGACGCATTGAGAGCAATCGCTCTCAACCTTAAAAACAATTTGTTATACGCAAGGCTAGCGTTTCTTAATGGCCAATTGCTAACCACTCTAGTTAGCTTTGAAAAAGCAAAGACCTCCTCCTAGGCTCCTACTACACATATTTATCGGTCAACCGGGGTTTACACCTCATAGCAAAGCAACATGATCCATGGTGACCTCGCCCGGAGGGTAGCAATCACCAATTCACACATCAAGTAATGCATCTGATGTCTTTTTAGTTCAACACCGTGCTTGTTTATAGTGCTGGATGGAAGGTGAACAGCAGATAGTAACCGGGGGACCAAAAAAGAAAAAAGAAAAAAGCTGCAGTGTTTGACAAGAGAAAATCTGAGGTCACATTCGGTAGAGGTGACGATTGCAATCAGCCACGAAACTAGTTAGGGGTATCCCTGCGTGTGCACGTTGCTGTCAAACAGCAACTTTGCGCCCCACCAAAATGTACAGAAATATCTGCCAAAAAAAATGTACAGAATTAGGAAAGCCAAGTGGTTGGTTGGTGTGCACATCCCACTGACTGAAATGAAGAGGAAAAATTGCGTTTAAATCCTAAACTGCTAATCGCAATGAAGGTAAATTCGTAGTATCCTAAGTTCTCATTTCACTTGTTTTTGGAAGTTTAGTTTAATTTCTTCTTAGCAATCGGATGGATCATAAAGAGAGATTTGTATGCTTCTAATAGAGATAATTTACTGAACCCTTAGCTCCTGAAGCCTGAATCAGGAATCAAAACAGTTTTTGACACTGAGGCCTCTGATTTTTATTTGTTCTCCTGTTTTTTACTTTCAATACAAATACGTCAATGGAATAAGGAAAAGTCACGAACGAAGAAAAACTAGGCACCTCTGATTTGTATATTTTCCTATATACTCTAATGTGGCTCCAAAAAAAAGTGGGCCTTCATGCAGCCAGACTATACCCCAGCTTTCCAATGAGGTTGTATGTGTGGATCATGGGCTATCTTGTGCCACATTTAGGACCAGGAATGGCAAGCCACCTGGGCTGCATGTAATCACAACTTTTCATTGCTTGCATCTGGTGGATTTGGATTTTTTTGGATGGATGTTCTCCGAGGACCATAAGCGTGTGTTTTAGAAAATACTGATGTTAAAACGAGGCACCATAAGTAGAGTTATGTGATGTGACTATCTATAAGTAACAAACTATTTCATTGTCAAAATTTTAGTACACAGCTACCATTTTTTAATGTATTAACTGTATGGTGTCGGAAAAATGCAGAATTCATCTATCCATCAAGTTGGGTTGGAGATCAGACTCTACTGTACAGAGAAGTGGAAAAGGCAGAATTGCAAAGATCACTAGACCCACCACCGCTGCCAAATGGAAAATCACCTCGGAACATCAGTGAACCTGTGGCAGCTTTTGGCCCCCCTGGATCCAGTGGGGAGCTCAACGTCAGTGTCATTGTCTCACCTGTACCACGAGACTTCTCGTAAGTTCACTCAATTTGTCACTTGCTGTTTGATCCTCGAAGATTATGTGAACAATCTATTTGATTTCCAATATATGCGAAACATGGGAGTGAAATCGTGCATCTCTCTCTTTAATACAAAGATACGCAGATCTCCTGCGTGTAAGGAAAAAAAATTCTTGCATGTCTTATGTTAACAAGCCAGACCTAAGTTTGTTATTCTGAAAACCTCTTAAGTATGCAGACTTACGGTTACGGTAGCGATTTTTGACCAAATAATTATTCTGCAGTTCAATATGGTTTCCACTAATGAAGCAGTTTGAATTGTTTCGAACAGGATTGAGGCTTTTGGTAGTCCAAAAGATGTGGGGGAAGTGGTGCTCAGAAGGATTGCAAGGACAAGGCGAAGCCCAGATATCAATGCTACTCTTATCGATGCCGCCTTGAGAGAAGATGCAGACAATGTGAAATACTACAAGCTGGAGTTCCGAGTTGAAAGCCCTTCTTTCCGACGACACAATGTTGCGGTCTGCTGTGCCAGGGACGGGAAGCTTTACACCATGAACGCACAAGCACCAGAATCGGCATGGAAAGCAGTTCAGAAGGAGTTCTTTGCAATGGCGGATTCCTTCAGCTTAGTGAACGATGCTTGATACAGTTAGGCACACGCAGTTTTGAACGCCTGAGCGTTTTCTCCAGTAGTTTGCAAGTTCTCAATAACGAGATGCCATGGTTTGGTTTAGAGAACTAGGACGAATGTATCATAATGTTTCTGTTATACCTTACAATCATGTCTGAAGTTTTATCTTCTGCATGCATTGGATAGATAATCTAATCTTTATTTCATCGTGTTACTTCAAACTTCTGTCTCCACTTATTTATCTGAGCAAGCGTACCTGAACAACCATTTTGCCGGATTTATATGATGTACTTGTCAGCAATCTCCATGAGAAGTTCTGACAGCTCCCTTGTTTTTGAGAGCATGGCCATATGATCAGCTCCCTGCAACCCCATCACTTCCGTGCCGGGGTTCCACGACGCCATCCACCGCTGGAAGGCTGCTGGCACCGTCGCGTCGTCCTCGGCGACGACGCACACCCGCCTCACGGCACCATACTGTTAGAATTGATCACATCCGTCTTGACCCAACGGTCGAGACGGACCCCTTGACCGCGTCCTAATCGGGGACGTCCAGCCATCTAGTGGCTAGTGGTCCCCCGTCGCACAATGCCTATAAAGAGGAGGTGGGGCAAACGGCTCTCGGTACGAGGTTCGCTGCCGCCGTCACAACCCCACCGTCTAACCCTAGTCCGATCGAGAGGGAGGCATTGCTAATTGGAAGCGCCTTGGCTCCACCACAACCGGTCTCCTATTGGTAGTTAGGCGCAGATCTTCACCGACGAACCAGCAAAGGCAGGGAGCTCCTCCGACGGTCAGATGCTTCTACGTCTCCCTCTCTCTCTGTCTCCTACTCCCTCTGAATCTCTAAGACACTGATTATCCCAAATACAAGTAAACACCCACTGGATCTACACCTAGACGATCTAAAGTATCTAACAATGGTATCGGAGCCAGTCTAGTTCGTAGATCTAGATCGGGGAAAGAAAAACAAATCGAACCCTAACCCTAGATCGGGTATGGAAAAGTGTGAATGAGATTGAGACACGGTTTCAACAAAGAACCCTAACCCTAGCTAGGCTCCTTAGGGTGTAGATCTATATTTCGAATCAAAAGCAAAGAAAAACGAAGAAAAGAAAAGAACGGATTAGATCCTTCGGATCCGAAAGCATGTAAGGGGTTCCTTAACCCTAACCCTAACTGGGTGAAGATAGAAGGGGCTCGACCTCAAGACCGCTTGATCCGAACCCTAAACCCGTGACCAGATCTCGGAGCAAAGAAAAGAAGAAAGAAAAGAAAGAGAAACGAATTTCGGTTCGGAGAAAATGTAACCCTAACCCTAACTTCGATCCCCACATTCGCAAATCGGTTCAATCCGAACACAAAAGAGAACCAAATCTGATGGGGAAGAAGGGGAAGGGTAGTCTACTCGCTGAGGCGCCGGGAGACCCTTTTTTGGTGCCGGAGAAGAAGACCGAATCGGGGGGGAGCTGTCCTCCGGGTCAAGAAGAAGCGCCTGGAGCCGCTGACGGCGGCGGCCACTCACATGGGGTGACGCTGGCAGGGGGCCGGCGACGGCGCCATAGTTTTCGCCCGCCGAGTCACTGGGGGATCAAGAGAGAAGAGAGAGCGGCGAAGAGAGAGAGAGGTTAGGGTGCAAATGAACTTAGGGTTCCGGGGGAGGCCAGCCGCGGCGAATTTTGATCAGGCGAAACGGCCGGACGGCCGTCGGTTTTGATCGGACGGCGGGGATTGAGCGGGCCACTCATTGGCCCAGCGCGGCGAAGCTGTGCCAGGCGCTTAGCCTAGGCCCACGTTATGGCTGGGTGGCGCAAGCAAGCACGCGACGCACCAAGTGGGCGGGTTTGTTTGTTGTTCAAGCCACAATGCAGTAAAGAATTAAGCCATTTTTCTTTTTCTAATTTTTCAGGAAATAGCATTTTCCTGGAAAATGATAAATGGCTCAAAGAAAATTAGAAAAGAGAATTTTCTCGTGGGTAAATTTCACTCAATTAAGTTAATGTTTCCGCTACAAAGTTAAAAGTTTATTGTCTTCTAATTTGAAGAGCAGTTATAGTTATTCAGTAAATGATAAAAAATTTATCCTCTAGTTAAAATTGGAACCAACTGGAATTTTTTTTGAGGAATAGTTGGTTGATATTTAAGATAAATTATATTATTGTTATTTTCTGACCAACGTTGATGATAACAATATTATAAGTTTATTTATGAGTTTAAGTTTAAAGTTAAATTATGGTGTTGTTATTTTCTGACCAACGTTGATGATAACAATATTATAATTTTATGAGTTTTATGATTAAAGTTTAAATCTCTGATGAATTTTGCATCAAAGTGACCAATTTTCAAAGAATAGATAAAGATCAAGGAATGCTCTTAAACTAGAGAAATGTATTTTCATGTTTCCACTGCAATGAAGTTGATTGTCTTCTAATTAAATTCGAACCAACGGGAGAATTTAATTCTGAAGAGCAGTTCTATGTTTTCAAGATTATTGAGGTTCTATACATTAATTCCATTTCTGCCCAACGGTGATGTGGAATTAATGTAGAAGAATGATGTTTTATTCTATTTCTGCCCAACGGTGATATAGAATAGAACATAAAGATTTTAAAGTTAAATGAGCATTATTGTTGAATATTTTTTTCAGACAAAAGACCTCCATGCTTTCATTCTTGAAGGCAGTAAGAGAAATGAGCTGGGTACTTGTGACTCAGATGATGAAATGCCTAAGAGCAAGTTATGTATAAAAGAATGCCATTGCTTAAGGGACTGTGTTCTCTTTAAAGAATGGCTTCAAAAGAAAATGATTCTAGGATATTGATCTAAGAAAAGAAATAGATCAATGAGAGTCTTCATTGAGAAATGTCTTTTATGTACTCTCTGTGAAGAAGAATTTATTTTCAGTTTCACTTATGAGAGTTATAAAAGTCATATACATGTTTAATTTGACTAACATTGGATTAAACATGTGTGTTAAAAGAATATTCGGATTTATTTCTGAATTTGATGATTGAACACGAGCCAATCCTGGCAATTATGTCCGTTCAAGGGAATTATCTCACATGTCGGAAAAAGTTTGTGATAGTACCCGCATGGCGGGAAAAGTTTGAGAAAATACTCGCATGACGGGGTAAAGTTGGCATAGTACATATGTTAACCTATCCTGCATGACGGGAGAGTTTGGCATAGTACTTATCCCGCATGGCGGGAGAAGAATATGATGACTCATGTGCTCTAAGTGTATTCCGTACATGGAGAGAAGTTTGGGGTAGCTCTTATGCTATCCTAGTATTGACCGTACACTCTGATTGTGTCATGGTCATTAAGTAGTCAATGAGTTTAAGAACAAAAGAAAGTTGCATGTGAACCAAAAGATAAGAGTGATATGCAAGCGTGACTTGCAGAAGTATTGAAAATAATAGACCATGTTGAGTTTTTGAAGTGAAATGAGGAAAATGTACTCCCATACGAATTTTGTTTGCATGATGTAATCATGTGGATGAAGTAAGTAATCAAAGTTTACTCATTCACAAGAGTTCAGAATGTTTCGAAATTGTGGTAGAAAGTTCATACCACATTTCGAGGGGGAGAAATATAAGATTAATTAAGAAAGACAATTAAGAAATATACTTCCCCATACTTCAGATAATGAAATGCATACTATGCATTGAAGGTAAAAGTGATCTATAAAAGATGAATGTGATCGTTGAGGGAGTAAGACGGTCATAATAACGATACCCCTAAAGTAAAGAAATAGCTAAATTCCTGGACCTTTTACAATTTTGATAGGAAGATAGCATAGTCGGCTAGTATTTATACTGGACGAGTTCAAAGTTATCAAGGCGGTGCTAAACGCGTCATATGAGTTTTTAGCAGATTAAACCAAAAATAAGAAATTTGAAGATACACCATCTTTACAGAAGATGGAGTAATCTGGGGGAGCTTGGTATGTAAATACCTAAAGCTTGAATAGAAGTGAGATTACATATCCACTACAATGTTTTAGAGCAACAAATTGCTTAATACATGTTGATGTGTATGACATATACAACAACTGATGTTAGCTCTTAAAGAAGATGAATAAGTAAACAAGGATCTTGATACAGGAGGCTATAGAACATTTGTCTTTTGGCAATAAAGAGTAACAATAGCCCCATATGAAAGAAGTGCCACGAGGCCTCAGAAGATCTCAAAGAATAAGCAAATCAGATATTTCTGGTGACTAAGAAGTCAATGTTAAGAAAGAAATTCAAATAGAGGGTAATTCCACCTCATTTGAAAAGCCATGAGAGGCGTTCACTCGTCTAAATGGCAAGAAGCAAAGAAAGATGAAATGAAATCGATAAACACCAACGATGTTTGGGACATAGAAGAAATTCCTAATGGAGCCAAAACAGTAGACTGTAATGGGTCTACAAGACAAATATGACTTCAAAGGGAATATAGAAAGATATCCATAGAGAATATTGAAAGCTATAAACCGCCACTTGTGGTGAAATGATTTACACAAAGAGAAGGAATAGATTATAATGAGCAAGCAAGAATTCTTTTAGAATCATAATGGTGTTAGTGGCACATTACGATTTACAATTACATCAGAAAGATGTAAATACACATTCCTCAACGGGGATTTGTATAGAAAAGTTTACATGGCATAACTCAAAATATTTTGTCGTTGAAGGAAAAGAATGTAAGGAATATTGCCTGAAGAAATCCATTTATGGATTAAAGCAAGCTTCAAGATATTGGTACTTGAAGTTTGACAGTACAATAAGAAAGTTTGGGTTTTAAAGAGAATGTAGAGGACAATTGTATTTATGCAAAGTTTATACATGGAAAATTTATTTTTCTAATCCTGTATGTGGGTAGCACCTTACTCGCTAGTAGTGGTGTTAATCTACTGTTGGAGAAGAAACAATTCTTGTCCTCAAATTTCAATGAGAATGATCTTGGTAAAGTGTCATTCGTTCCAGGAATTGGAACTTACCGAGACAAAAGGAAAAGAGGTATTAAACTATCTCAAGTGTATACTTAGAGAAGATTCTAAAGAAATAAAGTATATATGTGAGTAAACTTGCGCCTGTTTCTATAGTAAAGGGTAATAGTTTTCGGAACTTTCAGTGTTCCAAGAACGAATGTGAGATCGATCAAAAGGACGTCCTATATGCTTCAGCTGTTGGAAGCTTAATGAATGCTTATAAGTAAGAACTTACCCTGACATAGTTTATGTATCCGGGATGTTTTGGCAGAAATCCAGTCCAGATATAGATCACTGGAATAGAATTGAGAATGTTTTACAATTGTGCAAAGATTTATAGGCCTCATGGTGAGTAAGAAATAATAAGTACTCTCAAATAGTTGTGGGTACAAATGTTAAATTTTGACGAGATATTTAGTGAAACCCACATAGTAGCTAACACTCGCAGTTGGAGTTTTATTGTGGAAAAGCTCCAAAGAAACAGTTATAGTGTCATCAAAGATGCATACCCACAGTATAGCTTGATATGAGGCTTAAAGGACAGGCGAAATGGTTAAAAGAACTTACACCCGGAATTGATAATGGTATACAACAGCAATAATCATTTAAGTAGTTCGCTCCTATAACAACGGGTCAAGTGTGCTGCCAAATACATTGACGTTAAAGTTATACATTGTGAAGGAGAAAGTCCGGAATCATACTAAAAGTATTGAATATAAAAGTAACAAGCAAGTGCTTACGGATCCGCGTACAAAAGGCTTACCACCCAGTGTGTTTAGAGAACACACAGTCGATATGGGTTTATGGTATAGCCTATGATTTCTGGACAATAAAGGGCCCAAAGTTAAAGAATCTGTTTCAGAACAGAGATGTGTATTGTAGTTGTTAAGACTATCGGCGATTGACCGTGACGATGAAGCATGCTCTATGCACGAATCTGTGATGGAACAAATAAAAGTAGTCAAAGTTTAAAGTTAAAGTATAAGTTGAGATAAGGAGAAGAATGTTAGAATTGATCTCATCCGTTTTGACCCAACGATCGAGACGGACTCCTTGACCGCGTCCTGATCGGGGACGTCCAGCCATCTAGTGTGCCCCCGTCGCACAGTGCCTATAAAGAGGAGGTGGGGCAAACGGCTCTCGGTACGAGGTTCACTGCCGCCGCCACAACCTCACCGTCTAACCCTAGTCCGATCGAGAGGGAGGTACTGCCAGCGGCGGGAAGCGCCACTGGCTCCACCACCGCCGGTCTCCACCGCTACACCAACCGTCGCTGCCCGTGCGCAGATCTTCACCGACGAACCAGCGAAGACAGGGAGCTCCTCCGACAGTCAGATGCTTCTACGTCTCCTTCTCTTTCTGCCTCCTACTCCCTCTAAATATCTAAGTCACTGATTATCCCAAATACAAATAAACACCCGCTAAATCTGTACCTGACGATCTAAAGTATCTAACACATACCGCTCCGCCGTCAGGACGTCCCCCTTTATCGTCGCGTCGTCTTGGAACCGCTGTGACGGCCTCACCATCGCCATTGCCAGGGTGGCAGGGTCAAGTCATGCGTTGCGCCCACCAGAGGAAGCAGCACACGTCAGATAGTGACGTGTTTGTGTGGCTCAGGAACTGGTGGCCATTGCCACTTGTCAGTTGTCACCTACCTCAGGGGGGCTGAACTGGTACAATCTCTGCTTCAGATACTGTGGCCCGAACCGAAATGTTTCCACGGGATGCTGGGGGTCGCCGCCGGTTTCGAATTTGCAGTCCATGTAGCGATCAGCTGGGTGCTCTTGTTGCGAAACCTATAGTTCATCATCAGGACATCATGCTCAGAGCGAAATTCGACACTTTCTTGGCCTTTTCGACGAAACAATCGAACAACCCTCGGTCATGGATTTCCGTTCTGTTACCTGCTCGAAGACGAACGCCATCGGCAACCCTGTCCGGGTACCGCTCCATGGCTAGAGCGAGGTTCAGCCCGCCGAAGCTGTGGCTGATGAGGACCGCCTTCTCATCGGGCGGCAGGCCGGCCACCGCGGCCAGGAGCGGCCGGCTGTACTCCTCGAAGGACGGCACCTCCTCGGCGCGCCCGGGGCTAGCGCCGCACGCGGCCATATCCAGCGCCGTCACGCGGTGGCCCGCGGATGACAGGAGGGTGGCCACCTTGTACCAGCACCACGCGCCGTGGTAGGCACAGTGCACCAGCACGAAGTGGTGCTGCCGCCGCCGCTGCTTCGTGCCGCTCTCCATGGTCCTCTGTCCTCTGCGGTTGGTGGGATCAGGACGCAAGTACACACTTTGATCGGAGGAGGAAGAGGCGAAACATCCTCGTCTTGTAACCAGGTGTCACTGAAAAAAGTCATGCTTGATGTACTCCTTTTGTTTTTTAACTCAATGGTAGGAGCTCTATTAGATTGATCATCAAGGTAGTATTTTCTCTATCTATGAATAAATCAATTCTTAGAATTGCCTTCAATCAAAATTTTTGAGTTTAACCAAATAGAAAGATATAACATGGCATGAAATGAACAAATAATGAAAATACGTTGCATAGTGTATCTATTGATATTAAATTGATGCTATAAATCTTTGTGTTTTTTCGTATAAATTTGATCAAACTTTTTTTTTTGACTTAGGATATCTCTAGAAATTAATTTATTCAAGGACATAAGGAGTAACTGTCATCCCTCAGAGTAGGTCAATCTTGACTAATGATTATCCATGATCGATGGGTCTAGCTGATCACATTTGATCCGATCCCAGGCTAACCCATGCTATAAGAATGGAGAGGACCACAACACCTAAGATTATGGTTATTTCTTCAGCTGTAGGCACTTTAATCCTAAGTCCCAGACCGATCCAGTGGGAGCATGGGCTCAACACTGAAGACCTGAGCCAACTGCCGAATATCATGGTGTGACGACATATGAGTCTTCACCAACCACTAGCGTTTGATTGGAAGTCAAAGTGGGGTGGGATGGTTCAAACTCTGATTTGTGGGACGAGATGGCTTCATTCTCTGTTTGGTTGAGAAGGGATGGGATGGATCCGTTTTCTGTTTGAATAAGGACAATAAAAATGGGATTTGCTACTGACAGATGGGACCAATTGTCAGTTTTTTTTTATTTTTTTTTCTCCTTTTCTTTCTCCCCTCCTTATCTCTTCATCCCCAACCACATGGAGTCGCAGTCTCGCGCACACGGGTACGGCGCCGCCTGGCTTCCCCAATCCGCAGGAGACTTTGGCATTTCACTCATCATCGAAAACGGGTTTTGCAGTTTTACCACCCCTCAAAGTGGTTTCGCTCGTTTGTCATTATGAGACTGGTGTAACCCGCTGAAATCCATTTTGGGTAGTTTTAATTCGTGGAAAAAAAGAAGACACCTCCTTCCACTTCTACCACTGTCTGTCATCGAAACGGATCGAACGGATCGGCCCTCTCCATCCCCAGCGGCATCAGCCAGCAGAGGCCTGCCACCACGCCGCTCCCCTCTAGTGCCCTATCTCGTGTCCCCGGCAGCGCGCGCCCCTAGCGACCGCGCCCCCCGGTGGGCAGCGCCCTGGCTGCCGCGGCGTCTCGCCGGCCCTGCCGGCCCCGGCGGCGGTCCTCGCGGCTCCGGCTGGCCTCGGTGGCGGCCCTCGCTAGCCCCGGTGGGCTGTGCCACTGTGGCCACGCCTCCGGCGATCTGCACCCCGACGAGCCGCGCTCCCATCGGCCGCGACCCCGATGTCCGTGCCAGGATTCAAGAGATTTATGATTTTATTTTCGCAGCTCTGCGTTCTTGTGTTTTCTGTGTGTTTTTCTCCTCTCCTGTTTGTCCTTCAATTGATCGATTTAAGGGCGTTTTTGTTCGTTATTTTTGAGTCGATTCGAGCAAGGATATATGCTGATCAAATCCCCCAAGTGATTCAACTAATTTGGTACGAGCTCGTAGATCGATCTAATTTTCGGTTTAGGGTGAAAACCCCGTTCTTGCCCCCAAATCTTGCATTTCCTAGAGTTTAAGCTGAAATTGGGCGATGATCTCTTAGAGTATGCTCACCAACTCCCTTTGTGATGGTATGTGCAATGTTTGGGAGCGATTCGTTTTGATTTCGACCGGTTTCGTCGATTTTTGTGCTCGCCCCTTCTCTGTTCGTGCGCTCGTGTTCGTTCTGTTCTTGCGTTCGAGCTCTAGATGGCCGCATCGGTGTGGGCTTCGTTGGTCACCGATGCAGTCAGGCATGGTGTGGGTGGCGTGGGGAAGGCCAGCGCCGGCACGGGAGGGGAGCGGCGTGGGGGCAGGCTTGTGCCGGTAGGAGAGGGTGCAGGCGTGTGTTTGATCCGTTTCGATGAAGATAACAGGAGACAGGGGTAGAAGTGGAAGGAGGTGTCTTTTTTTTTCCATGAATTAAAACTACCCAAAATGTATTTTAGCGGGTTACACCAGCCTCGTAATGGCAAACGAGCGAAACCACCTTAAGGGATGGTAAAACTACGAAACCCTTTTTTGATGATGGGTGAAATGCCAAAGTCCCAATCCATAGTGAGCTCGCCCCGCGCCTTCTTCCCCCACGCTCGCTCTCTCCCACGAGGTGGCGCTTGCCCACGAGGCAGCCCGCGAGGTGGCATGCTCGCCCATGAGACGGCGGCGCTCGGCCACGAGGCTGCGTGCTCGCGCTCGCCCACGAGGAGGCCTGAGGGGCGGCGGCGCTTGCACGCGCGGCGGCCCGCGAGGCGGCGTGCTCGCCCCCGTTGGGTTCCTCCGTCTTCGAGCTCCTCTGTGCGTCGTCGTTCTTCCTCGCATCCTCTCCCACGCGCCTGTCCTTCTTCCTCCCATCCTCTCTCACGCGCCGTTCGTGACTGAGCGCACCTCCTCTCTTCTTCCCCGCCAGCGCTCGTCCCACTTGGGCTGCCCTCGTCCCCTCGATTTTGTGGGACGGGGACGCCCCGGATCTGAGCCGAATATTCCGTCTCGGGACCGACCCGCCTCTGGCTGCCCCTCATCCAAACCCCCCTTATCCCAGGACCGTCCCACCCCATCCCATTTGATCCTCGGAACCAAACACTAGACGCCATGCCTCCTAGACAAGCAGGCACGCAGCGGCCCTTAGTGCATCGTCGTTAGACATAGTTTAGTGCTAATTAAGTGTGATTATTGCTGAGTATGGATTAGGTGTTCATGTGATTAGGATAATTAAGATCTTGATTAAGAATTATCAGCCTGTTCGTTTGGCTGGGCTTGTTCGTTGCTGGTTCGTGAAGAAGTACTACTGGCTGGTTTGGTGTGAGAGAAAAATACTGTTCCGGCTGAAAATTTACGATCGTTTACGACAAGCACAGGCCAACCGAACATGCTGTATGTCTAAGATTTGGTATCAAAGCCGTTTTAGCCTATCTGTGAACCCTATTTTTCTATTAAGTAATAATTAAGTTGAGATTATGTCTCTACATGACTAATTCTATAATTAATTGCTTATGTTAAGCCCTAAATCCTTCGGATTAAGGGTAATTGTGCCTCTGTTAGTCAAAATTAGACAAGTTTACAAGCTAATTGATGTTCCGGTTAGCCCAATTAGTAGCTAGGGTTTTGGTGGGCACTGACCATAATTGAAATCAAATTTGCAAACTAAGTCAATTCTTCTCAAATCTCGAAACCTTAAAAATAAATCCCCAAAGTTCTTCCCCAAAATCAGAGATCCTGGATCTAAAAAAAGCCCCAATTTTTCCCCAAAAGTTCAGAAGCTTAGTGAACGATGCTTGATTCAGTAGGGACGCAGTTTTGAACCCCTGAGCGTTTTCTCCATTAGTTTGCAAGTTCTCAATAACGAGATGGCATGGTTTGGTTCAGAGAGAGAGAATTTGGACAAATGTATCATAATGTTTCTGTTATACCTTACAATCATGTCTGAAGTTTTCTTCTGGATGCATTGGATAGAGAATCTAATCTTATTTCATCGTGCTACTTCAAAGTTCAAACTTCTGTCTCCATTTATTTATCTGAACAAGCGTACCTGAACATACATTTTGCCGATAGGCATTACATGATATAAGTTTCAGATGTACTTGTCGGCTATCTCCATGAGAAGTTCTGACAGCTCCCTTGGCTTTGAGAACATGGGCATATGATCAGCTCCCTGCAACCCTCTCACCTCCGTGCCGGGGTTCAGCGACGCCATCCGCCCCCGGAAGCCTGCCGGCACCGACGCGTCGTCCCTGGCGACGACGCACACCCGCCTCACGGCGCCGTACCGCTCCGCCGTCAGGACGTTCCCGTTCATCGTCGTGTCGTCTCGGAACCGCTGTGACGGCCTCACCATCGCCATTGCCAGGGTCAGGTCCTGCGTTGCGCCCACCAGAGGAAGCAGCACGATGGTGAACAGACCACCTGCAGGATAAGCTTGTTTGCTTTGAAGACTGGGAATCTTGCCTGGCCCAGACACCTCACCCAGGCCGTCGATTTCCGGCGCCTGGGGCTGGATCGACCTGCCTGGGCGGGTGCCCCCAGGCCAGGTCTTCATCCAAACACGCCTGCCTGAGGAACTAGTAGTGGCCATTGTCACCTACCTCGGGAGGGCTGAGCTGGTACAGTCTCTGCTTCAGGTACTGTGGCCCGAACCGAAATGTCTCCACGGGATGCTGGGGGTCGCCGGCGACGCTGGTTTCAAATTTGCAGTCCATGTAGCGATCCGCTGGCTGCTCTTCTTGAGAAAGCTAAGAGTTCATCGATCAGGAAATCATGGTTAGAGTGAAATTTGACCCCTTCTTGGTCTTTTCGACGCAACAATCAGACAACCCTCGGTCCCGGATTTCCATTTCGTTACCTGCTCGAAGACGAACGCCATCGGCTTCCCAGCGGCGGGCATGAGGGCCGAGACGAACACGACGACGGCGACCCTGTCCGGACACTGCTCCATGGCGAGCGCGAGACTCAGCCCGCCGAAGCTGTGGCCGACGAGGACCGCCTTCTCCTCGGGTGCCAGGCCGGCCACCGCGGCCAGGAGCGGCCGGCTGTACTCCTCGAAGGACGGCACCTCCTCGGCGCGCCCGGGGCTGGCGCCGCACGCGGCCATGTCCAGCGCCGTGACGCGGTGGCCCGCGGATGACAGGAGGGTGGCTACCTTGTACCAGCACCACGCGCCGTGGCAGACGCCGTGCACCAGCACGAAGTGGTGCTGCTTCTTGCCGCTCTCAGTCTCCATGGTCGTCTCTGCTGTGCGGTTGGTGTGACGAAGAGGTCGACGTCCACACTGATAAAGGACAAGTACCT